TCAATGTTTCATGAATAGAGTGGCGAAATACGTGTGCTGGTATTATATAGTAGACCTATATAAAAATTTCATTTTAAATCGTGCTTTAGAGAATTAAATAGTTGAGGTCAAGAAATGGGGTTTAATAGAAATTTTGCCCGGACAGCGGCGCTATGCCCTACTCTTAATCTTATGTCGAATTCCATCTGCCAAGGGTTCTTTATGTGAACGCCAATTTGTACATGAGATTTCGGTTTTCGTCCCATCGGAAGGATTATACGACCCCTGTCCTGCACCAGAAACAAAGGGGGGGGCGCCTGAAAGTCGCGATAAACACCTCGTCCAACACCGGGACTTCCGGGTTAGTGAGGCAACGTCTTACTCACTGAGTCACTATCGCCCCATTGTAATTAAGAAACTTGGATTGACCTGACGTGGACTTTATGATTGACCCTTCAGCTATAATACACCTGCTAGCGTGTTCCCGCCTTCTCATAGAACGCCAGAAATACGTTCAGAATAATTATATAATTATGACGCCATGAAGACATTAGACATGGTAGAATTTTTTATACTACCATACCTGCAGATAGGCACCCAGATAGGCTTATTTTATACGGTCTGGGATTTTTTTTTATTTACGTGCGCTGATAGAGTTGCTTAAACGAAAGGGGTTCACTAGTCCGGCCGCGGGTGCACTGTCCACCGCTATAAAAAATACTATAAATATGGGTATCAAAAAACCAAGCCGGTATGGTGGCTGATTGGTATCATGTCTAACCCTACACCACGACAACACGACATTTTAACTCGACATTACGACATTTTTACCCGACACCACGACACTAAAAATGTCGTAATGTCGTGTAAAAATGTCGTATTGCCCTGTTAAAATGTCGTGATGTCGGGTTGTCGGCCATCTTCCTCTCCATATACGCAGAGTGATATACCGGAAATTGTCTATGGACAATGGCATTTCTTCATCGAATTCCAAATGTGAGGGGTTCTTTTATGTGCACACCAATGTGTACACCGGGGCTCGTGTTTTTGTCCCATGTACACAACTAGACACTATCCTTTGCCAGAACGTTCTTTCGGCACTACCGACAGGGATAAACCACGCTGCAAAATCCCGGGGAATTTTCTTGATCAGCACCAGGATTATTGTAAATACATGTAATCATACTATATATTGAGAGGAAGATTAGAACGGGAGCCCAGGGGGTTAACCTAGCTGAAAAGTGTAAGTGTACCAATTTTCTTCTATATGGTATCAATGCATGTATATCTAGTATCATCAGAATGTAAGTCTGCCGGGTTTCTGGTGGTGGGTGTGGTATTCCACGCCCAAAATGTCATGCCCCCCAACTATAGTCTAGATTAGCTCAAAAGTGTACCACATGAACATCATACAGCAATGTACCGTACATCTTCAGGTATTACAAAAACACGCTGACAGACATTTCTAGTGGTGGGGTACCCCTGACAGAGCTATGTAATTGCCAGACATTTGTAGTGGTGTAGTATCCCTGACAAGCGTTATCTAATTTCTAAACCACAGCTAGTCTAGATTAGCTCACATCTGTACCACCTAAAACAGCTTTGGAACAGAACAGAAACCCGGCAGACGTACATTCTGATGATACCAGATATACAAGCATTGATACCATATAGGATTAAATTGGTACACTTTTCAGATAGGTTGACCCCCTGGGCTCCTGGTCTAGATGGTCGACATCACGACATTTTAACCCGACATTACAACATTTTAAATGTCGTGGTGTCGGGTGAAAAGTCGTATTGTCGGGTTAAAATGTCGTGATGTCGGGTTAAAATGTCGTGATGTCGGGTTGTCGCCTTATGATACCAATCGACATGATACCAATCAGACACCATACCTGCTGAGTTTTTTGATACCCATATTTATAATATTTTTTTATAGCGGCGGACTAGTGAACCCGCGGACTAGTGAACCCGCTATCCAGTGAGCAGTCCCCACTTAGACGTTTGTCTCTCGCATGTGTTTTTTGAACATCAAAGGGAAAATCATTGCAACATAGATACATTTTGACACGAGTCAACTAGACAAGAAAAACGTTCTGAAATTTAGGTCAGCGTCCAGTGAAAGGACATACATTACAAATATCTAGCTGGAATGTCACAAATAGTACCAAGTTGTAATTTGTAAAGTCATGTCACGAGTAAGCTGATAAATTAACGGTGTGTATAAAAACATTTAAAACAACACTTTCTATGAGAAAAGTGTCACGGTCGTGTGCTTTATTCTTTATAGTCAGATGGTGGGATGGGATGAGTATTCAAAGCGCGAGATAATGATATAGGCATAATGTGATATCACAATTAATGCTTTGCATCAATGAAACTGGCGTCAAACGGGGTGTTGGATTTTTCTGTTTAAAAAGCTCAGTACGCAGAAATGACGACAGAGACCATATATTTCTCAACAATTTTCTCCCCCCGCCCCAAGATACATTGTCTCAGGCACCGGGCGAACCGCCTCCTGCAAAAATTCCTGGACCCGCCCCTTCACAATAGCACATGTTTAAAACTGGCAAAATTGATTAAGCAACGTTTGGACACCTCGTGAACCTTTTAATGAAAATGAAATGAAATGAAATGGGGTTTAACGTCCTACTGTTCTGCTTGGTTAATGAAGACGGGCATACGCCATACAGTGTGCTATGAGGGAAATTTTGCCCGGGCAGCGGCACTATCGCCTACTCTTATAACGAATTCCAACTGCCAGGGGATCTTTTACGTGCATTCCAATATATACATGGGACCTCGGTTTTTCGTATCATCCGAAGGACTAGACAGCTGTCCTTGTCAAGCCCTCCGTTCTGCACCACTGACAAGGGGGAAACCACGTCGGAAAATCCCGATAAACTTTCTCGGCCAATGCAGGGATCGACACCCGACCTCTAGGCTAGCGAGCCAGCGTCTTAACCACCTAGCCACCGTGGCTCCCGAACCTTTTAATGAGTTTCAGCAAAATATTGTAGGTATGTTGAAAGAGTGGTGTTTGTCCAGATCAGTTCATGCGCCAGGCAACCATCCCAATCAAATAGAGAAATCAAATATAAGTTTGTTGAAATTTGAAATTATCGCTGATGTAAACGGTTTACATAATTATATGAAATGTTTCTTTTCTCACATTTCTCAGTAGAGGTATTGGATTGGCGGGCAAATAATGAGCCCAGCATCATCAAAACGCTGCACGCCGCCAACATTGGCACCGTCAAGGGATATTTTTAGCCATCGTGGATTTCTTGATTCTCCTAAAACTCATGATGGACTGCAGATAAATTCAGAACATATTGCCAGGATTTTGTTGGAGCAGCTTTTAAAGGGACATTTTGACTTTAAATATTTCACTACAAAGTTCTCTAAAGCTGCTCCTTCAAAATCCTGGCAATAGGTTATGAATTTATCTACTATCCATTATGACTTTTAGAAGAATCCCCTCCTCCACTCCCTTCACTTCGACGCCCCTGGCCCATTTCCTGCCTAGTTGAAACATCCCCGACAAGCATTACCCAATCAAGCATTAAAGGGTTTGGAGGAGTCGAATTTTGCTCTATCCAAGTGTTGTCTCGCCAAAACTATGGGATCGAGCAATTGCATTCGATAAGTAACATTCATGCCAATGATAGTTATCAAAATTCTACTATTATTTTTAGGCAAACTCTGATCTTTATCATCTATTGGTGATCCTTACCACATTTCAGAAAAATCCATATCAGCCGTTATGAAAGAGAATACGATTTTGTATAAAATGTCTTCTATAACTTGACCCTCAAATAGGTTGGGACTTGAGTGCCTTTTAAAAGACTATGAATGGCCCAATTCCGAAGTGCTATGATTAGAAAATATCTATGTAGTGACGTGTATTGAATTATTTGATGGATAAGGGACGCAAGGAAAGAATGTGAGAAAACTCTATCACGTCCGACTTTTTTCTATAATTAACTAATCTGTCATAGATACAATGGAAGTGAGATGGACTTGAAATAAAGAATGACTGTTCATTTAACTACATGTAATTGCATTTATGAGGGCAGGGTAGGCAACCGAAGTACAAGGCTATCACAGTCAGGAATTTTAAAACACGCACTGCTGTCGCCACGTAACAGTCAGTGTGCAGAACGGAATACTCGATAGGCAAGTCCCTATTACTTTATGTATCAGTAACGTAGAGGCAAAGCAAAGGTACTGAGCGCAAATTACAGATATCCATTGACAATTAGAGGGATTCTGTGCCAGATGAAATCAGCGGAATTCTTCTGCGAAGGCCCTATTGGGAATAAAACGATGTTTGAGCCAGATATGATTTGGGCAGTAAATCATTTGCAAAATCAAAATCGTTTATCAAGGCTTAGTCATAGTTCTTTAGATTGCATTTTTGTGTCCTGTGACTTTTTCTTTTCAAATGGGGTATTTTTCCAATGCAATCTGTCATCATTTCTGACGTGTGATAAACCATGTACTTACAATGATGTTCAGAAGAGCAATAGTATCAGTTCTGGAATCAATAAATCAATTTTACAAAATTTTAGAGAATTAATGCATTTTTTTAGCATTGAAAATAACATAGCCTTTTTTCTGCATTCGGGTTTTGTTTTGTGTACACAATAGGCCTAACATAATTAAATATTTGGCCTATTTTATGTGACATTTTAAGGATACGTGTAGTAGCAAAGCAACGGTAATGTTCAGAAATGTTTATGGGTGCTAAATTTGCAGAAAAAAAGTCGATCTCTCGTATTTGCCAATCATTCAGTAGCTTTCCGTAAAATGACCCATATGTTTATTCATAGCTACAGCTAACCGGGTGATTGGTTTTTCAAAGGCGGCCAAAATCTACATCGAGCATCCTTAATAAAAATTATTTACATATCAACAGCCTAGTGACAAGCAGATGGAAAGAGCAGACCATCAGGTGATCGGTATTCTAATTCCATCGGTAAACAAAAATTACGCCACACATTTGTAGTAACATTTAGATCTTTGTAGACTTGTAACATGTCATATCCCACCTTCGAACTACCATCATTAATTAAATCAAGATACATTTATCATTTCATCAAATCACGCCGGTTCTATCTGGAGAAACTGACATCCATCCAGCAGATTGGATACAAAAATCACAGTCGACCACCATTTGCACCTTACCAGTGAAAACCGTGTTACAAGTTCAAAGCAACTTAAGGATTTGCAAACGTTCAAAGGCCAGCGACGTCATCTTGCATACGACTGCACATGTTAGGATATTTGTAAAGAATTATGATTTGGATTGTGTTATTGCATTTCGGTAAGAATGTCTATTTCTAATAATTGTTACTTTTGTATTCTAAACGCTACGTTTCAAAAGATCGCATTGGATCAAACGAAACGATTGAGACAAAATCCAATTGTTCTTATCTGGTAGCGGTATAATATACGGACAAAACATTATGGATCGTTATCTTGAATGGGCCGTTGAACTCAACTTGCAGTTTATTTTGGTCTTTTTCTTCAAATTATATTTATAGTTATGTTTTCCTCATATTTATCGAAATTTGAGAATATCGTCAGCTCGGAAACAATTGCATGGAATTTAGAAATTATAACATTATTCAATATTAATTGAATGTTTTCCTCATAAATTAGTAAGGGGGGGGGGGATTTATTTCATGTTTATATAATATGACATCTAGAAATATGGCACCTCGCCTAGACGACAAAATTCGGTGTTTCTAAACACGAACTACATGTTTAAAAATTGGACTTCCTAGAAATCGGGATTGTTAGGAGTAATTAAGGAACCGACATACTTAATACCAGAAAGAAGGTACCATAGACCTACATGATATTTACAGATCTGAATTTTATAATTGATTCACTCGGTTTAAAGTAAAATACCTGTTACAGACTGAAAATGTTTAATAGTCACCAGAAGTTAGTAAGATTCTTCTGTAACATTGGTGACTTTAATAGTAATTACGGTTTTGTTTGAAGAGAGAGTAAAATATGTCCAAAGTTTATTTTTACGATTACCAGTTGATGTGAGACTTAGTGGTTTTAATCTTTCTCAAAATGTTTGCTTTGGTTCAATATTTGTGATGCGATGCATGTAGTATTAAAGTATATAGTAGAGCGACTACTAAGATAAAGTCAAGTGTCTTGTATCCATCCTGTCGGGGATTTAAAGAGAGAGAGAGAGGGGGGAGAGGGAGAGAAAGAGAGTAATATAAATTGTGGTAAATCTTTATTCAATAATTCGCTTCAAAGCTTTCAGTTTGTCAGGGTGCAGGGCCATAAAACATTTTGGTGTTCAAATCAAGCTTTATTCATCAGATGATTCGTGTCAGCGCTCAAAGTAAAATGTATATATAATTAAAAATAGTAGTAATATTTTCCATTTGACACATCCAAAAGAATGTGCTGAGGTAATTGTATTTTAGGCACATTAAGAATATTTTAAAATGTTTATTGTCCAGCTCTGAAAATTGACCAGTATCTTCACTTTTGCTGTCAGTAACGTAAAAATTGTTGGTTTGTATAAATTAATTAGAAGCCTTGGCAAAATGTGTATGTCAATATAAAAGAACTCTCCCAAAGCCATATTAATGAATTCATCTTATAAAACAAGTAATACAGTATTTCTAATATTGCCTAAATACAGTTTTGTGTTTGATAGTGTTATTGTTCGACCATCACATCTTCACACTTAATTAGCTTTTTGTAGAATAAACCCCTTTGATCTTGTTGTTGTCCTGTATGGTTTCATGAATTGTTGTTACAGTTTTCTGTATATATTGATCTCATAATTCTTGTATTACTGTATTAGCTTGATAACGTTGAGAGAATACTCTTCGAAACGTCGCCCAAATAAATAAGTAGCTGTTTTTCCATAAGTATGTGTTTTTTGTGTATTGCTCTACCCAGTTACTAAATGCCTCTTAAAGATCACATCTTGTATGTGTTAGAAAAAACCGTATTGGTTTCATCACATAAATCCTTTTCTATTTATACGCTCGTATTAAAACTATAAAAACTGAAGTGCAATTTTAAGGCGATGATGTGGTTCTTATTTTGGAAAGACATGTGGTGGTTTAATGGATGTACACCGTCATCCTTTGTTGAATGAAGTCAACAGTGATAGCATTGATCCTGGATATAATGGAGTTAGTGTTCAGGATTAATGGCTGTTCGGCATATCTTTGGTCTGGAGATGATTTAGTAACTGTTTGCCCCATTTCCGCACTCGCCTACTTAGCGAACTCGTGTTCCTGTTTACTCAAAACTTGATCATCTTACCCCCGTTCATGGCCGAGACCAGAAGCTGTATAAAGAAAGATTCACAAACAAATGATCAAGTATAGTCTTTTGTTTGAATATTCTAAATGGAAACTGCAACTACAACCTTTGTTTTACAACGACAGTGTTGTTCTAAACATTTTTTTTTATTCTATAATATCCCACAATGTTTTTTTTTAATTTGTATCATGGGAAGTAAGTTATCTAATTTCATTGGAATAATATGGACTTTATTTTCTGTTACAGGACTATTAACAACTGTTTTGACAGCAGGTAAGCGAAATTTTTCCATTTTTTGTCCAGTCGCTAAAAATGTCTTGATATGGCTACAAACTGCTGCTTTCCCAATTTTATTAGGTAGCCTACCTATAGACTGGACTTTTGAAATGATAATGACAGAAGTTGTTGTAAATGAGTAAGCATTAAGGCACCAAATCAAAGGTTTCTACTACTATTACAGAGGATGCTGAAAAGCTATCCAGCAGAGGGTTGCGCGAAGATCAACCGACGAGAGAGAGGGGGAAGGGGAGGAGAAGAGTAATCAATTCACTGCTGTTGTGAAACAGGTACCGGTACCATATGTAAACGGAAAACCAAAACGTGTTCACTCAAGTCCCATTCACAACGACCTATGTAAAACTGCGTAACGTGTTCAACCGTTAGGCCTACACCGGAACGCATCAATATCGATTGCAACAAAGTACCGTCTACACGCTAGTGTTGCGCGTAAAGGGTGTCTTGGGTGTAATTGGAATTCGAGTACTGTGGGCAGGTACACAGTTTTTCCGAAAACAATTCTCCTGGCGCTTAATTGAATTATATACTACAGTGGACTCTGTATATATAATGTAATAAATATATGTAAGGGAAAAAAAATAGGACTACACTGCCCTTCTCGTCAAGTGGGGCCTTATTTAATACTTTGTTTAATTTGTATACTAACCACCTAATGGCCTAAAGAAAATTTACTGTTTGGTCAACGTATATTTAAAAGTAAAGTTCATGATTTAGACCACTTGCTCTGGTGGTATTTACTAATCAACATGCATGGTCTTACTTTTTATATCAATAACAAGTCTTTACTAAGTCGGCCATTAACATTCTTGGTAACAGTTTTAACGTTCGTGTTGTACTAAATGTTTTCTCACCACTCACTTACCTAATATTCAATTTTGTCAAAATTAAGATAATGTCTTGTATATTCAGAATTCTGTGGGAATTCCATACTGAAACATTTGCCAAACGAGGCGTTTACGTCATCAAGCAGCTACGAAGTTGAAGAAGACGAGAAAAGGTATGGACCAGCCAGAGCTAAAATTACATCTACAGTGGAAGAATTCCAAGACGGGACACCTATGACAGCGGGGTGGATAGCAGCTACTGTTAATCTAAACCAATGGCTTCAGGTAACACTTTTAAAACTCCACAGTCGGGCCTATAAACATGTGGGAGTGCAAGATTGCCAATACACGGACAATTTGGTGTGATTTCCTTTCTTAAGAGATATTTACACAGGTTTATATATTAAATGGTCATCAAGCTAGAATAAAAGCCACAAGCACAAGATCATACCCAAGCAAAAATCAACTTTCGAAATAACATTTTAGTTCAAAATTTTCTTTCCAAAAAAACATTTTCGTTCAAAATTTTCTTTCCAAAAAAACATTTTCGTTCAAAAATTTCATTTGTAAAAAAAAATATTTTCGTTCAAAAACTTCATTTGTAAAATACATTTCAGTTCAAAAATGTCCGTGGCAAAAAAAATTTTAGTTCAAAATGTCCTTTGCAGAAACATTTAAGTCCATTAGAAGAGTACATTAGTTGATTTTGTAATATTTTAAATATATCTGGTTGTATCCACGAACATCGATGCCTTGTTTATTTAAATAAAAATTCCGATATCAAATTCTGTTTCGTAATTGATTGATTTGAATATACCCACATCTGACTCTTCTAGGTCTCTGAGTTGGCGGTGAATCAAAAAGATATACAAATACAGGACTTGTACACATCCTTTGTATATATATTGTAATATGGTTGTATTTTTAGATAGATTTACAACAAGCTAGTGTAGTAAAAGAGATAGTAACTGCTGGTCGTGATATAGATACTAGAACTGGATGTTGTGATCAGTGGGTATCAAGTTATCTACTACAATATAGTACTGATAATATCAACTGGTTAACAGCTAACTGTACTAAAACATCACAGGTAATTAATAATATTAGTCTCTTTCAGTCTTGCTTTTATCTTAAGGAACCTGAAGCACTGGGAATTGGGAGGGGGGGGGGGGTAACGGGAGGTTCTTTCGGCATACAATCTTGTCAAAACAACAGTGATAACTTGGCTCAGAATAATTTTGCATTATCTATATGAACTATTATAGCAAGAACGGCCAGCTCGTATCTAAATCTTACATAATGTATATATCTTTAAGTTACTACGTGTAAGTATCACCGTACGTTTTTATTCCTATTTTTATAGATTTTTACAGGGAACAATGATACTGGTAGTTTTGTTCGTAATCCACTGTCGTGTCCTGTGATTGCCAGGTTTTTACGTATTTTACCACGATCTTGGCACGATAATATTGCTATGAGAGTTGATATTCTTGGATGTCACATCAGCGATGGTAAGTAATTCATAATGACACATCATTTTTGACGTGGATATTTGATTTATGGGATGACAGTTTAAGTCTTTCAAATTGCTGGATCCGTAAATAAAGTCAACGTTAAGATATAAACAACTGTCAAAAAAGAAAAACGCTAAGATTAGTAAACAATTTGCGGTTTTACAGATCTTGTCCTATACAAATCGAAATAACGCTCCAGATCAACCATATTCAATAGCTTCCTTTGACCCTTAGATCCTTTTAACACTGTAGTCTGCTGATTGGGTTTCTGGATGTTGGTTGGCACACTAATTTAAAAGAGTTGTTGCTGATTTCAGGTACGTGTTTCAGTTTTTGATAACGATGACAGCGGACTTACACGAATATAACATGAAGTTATTGTACTAGAAAATAAATCCTTTTCTTTTCTTTTAGAAAGTTCTAAAACAGTCACCGAAAACTCACCTGTTTATCCTTGGACCTTAACCAGAAACAATAACAGACATGGTGGATCTTCAACTGCAGACGATCACCTGAACTCTAAATTAGAAACATGGACAAATGATAATAACCGTGGTTCTTTAAACTCAGATCTACTCAACTTCCAAACGGCATATCCACATCTAATTGGCATACCTCCAAATCAAGGGTCTGATGGCAGATCTGTTAGTTTTAATGGTGACAAACCCGTGACGCCTTCTGGAAATAATTTTTACTGGACCTCAACCAGATCCACGTTTGATATAAACAGACAGCAGAATAGTAACGATAATAACCAACAAGAATGGCACTGGAAAGCCACTGCATTTCCACGAGTGGTCCCGACTGCCCCTACAAATAACCACCAACGATACACGCGATCTACAACCGCTAAGTATCCGTGGGAAGCTCGTGATTCCGGGACCAGATCGAATACACGCTATCCAATACGAACGCGCGTCATATCGGATACGGACACTTACGTTCCACAGGGAATACGAATTTACGGTCCAACTGAGTATATCCCAAGAGGATTTATTCCAAAAGAATACATCAATGGTAATCCCTCAGATGTCCAACGTTATGATAATTCTCAGAATCCAGCTAATGGTAATTCATGGAACCAGCCAAATGGTAATTCATGGAACCAACAAAATGGTAATTCATGGAACCAACCAAATAGTAATTCTCAGAATACAGAAGATGCCAGTCCGTGGAATCCACCTAATGCTAGTCCCTGGAATCCACCTAATGCCAATCCTTGGAATCCTCCAAATGCCAGTCCATGGATTCCGCCTAATGCCAATCCTTGGAATCCACCAAATGTCAATCCACAGAAGCCGTGGAACCCATCTGGAGTTATAACGTATCAAGAAGGTATTATTTAATAATCTGGAAAGTATTCTAGATTTATTTTGTTATATATTTTTATTTATCTACTCTCCGACTTTAATTTAGTATGCATCTAATACAATATTTTAACATTGTTATAGACCTATTGTAAATTTTGTATTTATACATTTCAGGTGTTATCGCCCCAAAGGCTAATGATCGTAAGTATATAGACACTTAAACGTTTTGAGTAGCTAATTGGCAGCGACATTGCCATTGCATATACGTATTGAATTCACTTAATGGGAAAAGGGGGTGGGAATATTCTCATACACTGTCCGAATTTAAAATTTTAGTCCGCTTTATCATGGCCTATGCGTTTTTAAGATCCATTTAGATCGGCACTCGGTGATACTGCGTCGCAGTAAATGCTTCATGGCGAGAACCGTAACCCAAACCTCTGTACTTACAATAGGTCAACAAAATATCAGTGTTATGACGACTGCTGCCTTATTGCGAGTACACAGGTAAAAAGTGCGGACCACTTAGAAACAGGCTGGGATTTCATCTAGCCAGAAGAAAAGAAGCCAATCGATATTATGCCACGAGTCATATGATTATTGGTGGAGTTCTTGCACCCTTCAATCCCACCACAACCTAATTCTCCAATTCCATCGGTAATCCTTTCAGTGTTATACCTTAAACAGGCCAGTTTGAGTTAGCTACTTATCGTGTTCCTTGTCTGCGATATCACTCGTGTGAAAAGCGGACTTTAAATACCCTTATTTACAAAAAGTTATGTAGTGTAAGGGTTGTCTGTATATATTTTCAGGTTGTATTGAATCATGTTATGATAGAGCTGACGGTGATTATCAGTCGTGTAGATCATGTAGTGTTTATGTATCATGCTCTAATGGCAATACGTTTGATAATAGAGAATGTCCGGGAGGTCTGGTATGGAATGATGATCAGAAATACTGTGATTGGACCTCATCGACTTGTCCATAATATATATACATAATTCTCATCAGAGGGATATACAATACAGCTATAACCAATGCCTCTTTTTGTACTAACCTCTGGCAGTGTCCATTTGTTAAATGACTGCATTGCAAATGCAAAAATCAATAGCCTTATAAATGAGCCTTGACTTCATCAATGTGCCTTCGTGTATGCTGTTATACATTTATATGTTATACTTTTTGTAGAATAAAGATTTTGCGCGTCATCGTCTCGTCACGTGTTAAAAACTGTACCCCAAATTTTAATTAGGATGTTTTAACTTTAATAGTCGGTCAAGTACATTTTCTATCAACTAAAGGGTGCAAATAAGGCGCATTCAATTCTGTCTATCTCTAAGTTTAATTCGATATTGTATATCTTTTATAACATAATATCTTCACGAATTAATAAAATATAATTTGAATCTGGATTCTGAGTATGTATCAGTCTGTCGTTCTGTGGGAGTGCCCGAAGTCGACAGTTTATCGGCTTGGTCACCACTGAACAGGAGGATGTAGCACCAGAAAATCTTGGACATCTTTAATTTTATTTTTTCTGGGTTCAAGACATTCTGTTTAGAAAATACCGGCATAATAACGCGCCTATTGCTGTATCAATCTGTTTACATGTATGGATAATGACTTTTAGCCAATCATACTGTTCGCCGTATCAGTAAACCTATTAAACTAGGGGTGCTTTTGATAGTGGGGCACTTGTCAATGGTGCAGTGCGGAGGACCTGGTAAAAAACAGCATCTAGTCGCTCGGATGAAGTGCACATAAAATAACTCTTGGCAGTTGGCGGAAATGCTGCTGTCCAGGTAAAAGTTGGTTTCAATTGTAGAGAGAAAGAGAAATGGGGTTTAACGTCCACTCGACACAAACTAAGTCATTTCGTGACTAGCATATGGTTTAATTTTATTTCATTAATTTGCTTGCGCGTAGGGGGAAAATGGAGGACCCTGAGAAAACCCACGGGGTTGGACAGGCGACCCTACTCCTTGTCATGTACAACCGGGGAATCGAAACCACGCCATTTGACTCAATGACAGGTTCCAATTGTAGCATCGTATCACATCATAATGACTCCGTATAGGAGCTACGGAGAAACCAAGTGCTCCGACTGAAGTTGAAAATAATATACAGGTGTCTGGTATAGATTTTTCACAATCGGATTAAAAGAAACTCCTGACATTAGAAATGTTCAAATTTGTATCGTGTATTAACGTTCATTGTCATTTCCGCTAAACCTGTTTACATTGCTATTGAAACCAGCGAGTGCTGTAACTTTGGCAGGCTGGAATTGGGATGTCCACAAAGTTATCAACTGCGTCAAAATCGCAACTCGTGCCACAAAAACTGGATAGTGTACATTGGGCTTTATTAGTTTGGCTGTTGCATTTCTGCAATTGGAATGAATTCGAGCGTGCTACGATACCGTACAATAAAAAGACTATATGTTGTTAGAAATAGTTAATATTTAACAGAATAGCATAGTAGATTAATATATTTTACAAAATGTTAAAAATCATATTTAAATGCAAAATAAGTTAACAAAAAGAAAAATGTATAATATCGCAATTTGCCAAAATGATGAAAAAAACGTAACTGCACTAATTTTTGTTAAATTTTGTGTTTCTGGTTTGTAGTAAACATTAAGATTTCAAAGTTGTCTACCTTTAAACTACATTAAACTAATGAAACTATTTTACTGCTTAAAATCCATAGGTTTAATTGATCTACCCGTTTGGGTTTCATTAAGTTGAAACAATCTCCATACTGTCATAGACTGTTCTTAACTTCTGACAAAGATATCAGTATTTTTGTACATTAATATAGTGAAACTATCCTGTTCGGGCCTGTTTCTAGACTGTTTCTAAATTGAAAGTTGAGTAAGTGTTGAAAAATCTTTGAAGCATTGGCGCAATTACAATAAATATGCTTGTCCAGAGTTAACAAATGCCAAAAATCATATTTTCTGTCATAAAAGGAAAGCATTGCACGTTATTTACCGAACGTAATGCCAGAACCGAGACAAGGGTGTCGTAAATTACTATTCAAGCACTTTAGGAATCTCCTCACTGCCTTTGGACATACTCTCAAATTCTTCAATGTCGTCAGAATCTTTACCAATTTCCCGCAATTCCTTCTTGGCGGCTCGCGACCCCTTTAGTTGTTTCTGAATCCATGTCGGATCCCTCAAAACATCCAATAAATAAAGCCAATCCACCTCCTCAAACACACCTAGTTTGACCCCTGACTCTCTCATGGTCTTTAAGCCTTGCTTGTTTTCTTCTTTGCCTTCGTCACCCTCGCCTTGTCCATGCAAGGTTACGAATTTAATGGAAACTTTTACTTTTTTACCCTGTTCTTCGAGAGATTTAAATCCACTCACTAAACTATGAGATGTGGTATTGAGGGGTGAGTAATTCATATATATTCTAAAATCTAATCGATTCCCATTCTGGACACTAGGCTCGGAGAAAATCCATTCAATGAGCCTGTCCTCTGCTCGAGAGTCGTCCTTCTTTTTTGCATGGAACACCTTGGTTAGAATTGTCTCGCCTTTGTCTATCACAATAGAACAAACGTTTGCAGTTGCGCCGATGGTGCCATCAATTTTCTCCGCCGTTCTGCTGAATACTTCAAACTCTTTCTGCATTGGGTCACTCATTCTAAAATGTAAATACGAGATAACTAAACATACTTCAGGAAGGATAAATGAAAATTCTAAAATTGGCACACGAATCGCGTGCCAGAAACATATGTGATTCTTTGTTTTACTAATCTAAATATAAATTTCACACAGATCGGATAACTTTTGTTGTTGGAGCGTTCACAAGGTTTAATAACGTGAAACAAGGGCAATAATAAAGTGAAACAAGGGCCATAACTCTAGAATTAATTAACGGAATTTTTTTAAATTCAATAGGCTTCTTCGTTTCACTAATTTAAATGATGCATATAAATTCCATACAGATCGGGTGATAACTTTTGTTGTTAGATCATTCACAAGGTTCAACAAAGTGAAACAAGGACCATAACTCTAGACATAACTAAAGGAAATTGCTGAAATTCAATAGGTTTTTTCGTTTCACTAATTTAAATAATGCATATAAATTACATACAGATCGGATGATAACTTTTGTCGTTATGGAGCGTTCACAGGGTTCAACAAATTGAAACAAGGGCCATAACTTTAGATGAAATTAACAGAAATTGCTGTAATTCGATGGGCTTCTTCGTGTCACTAATTTAAATGATGCATATAAATTCCAAACAGATCGGGTGATAAATTTAGTCGTTAGAGTGTTCACAAGGTTCAACAAAGTGAAACAAGGGCCATAACTCTGGAAGAAATTAACGGAAATTAATGAAATTAAATAGGCTTCCCCATCTCAATAATGTAAACAACATATATCAATTTCAAAACAATCAGATGATAAATGTAGTCTGTAGAGTGTTTAGAAGAAATTGTGGACGACGGACGGACGGACGTACGGACGGGGGCGACGGCAATATACGACCACATTTCCATGTGGGCGTATAAAAATAAGAAAATCTACAGAACTGGCGAGTTAGACATCTAAATTCCAATATATGGCTCGGTTCCTGAGCCTAAGCAAACTTCTTTCATGAATTGAAAGACCATTTCTCGCACCCATCCCAACAACCCTTCCCACCTTTACCCGTTCCATTTCGAAAACGTTGAATCTGCCTATAGCATCGTTATGTATGATGCCTTTAATGGGTGTTTCGGTACACGAAAATTTTATCTTATGTTTTCTGATCTATATTTATCTCAAATTTATACAGTTACGCGTTTTGAAAAATAACTACTTTAATCATGAGTCACTAATGTTAGTAATTATATTATTTCAACGGCTGTGCAGGCCGAGAAGGAAAAGCGAATGTGGTATTATCGATTGTAAGTGTGCTAATCGTTCACGCACTCAAATCCTATTATTACTGTACAATGAAATAATGAGGTTCAGGTTTAGCGACGATGCGATACGTCTGTAAAATGTTTCACTGTCACGCTGTTAACGTGATTGTGAAATATACGTATTGTTTAAAAAAAAAAACCTCCCAACAGCTTAGAGTATGCCTTTATAATAATTTACCTTCAACTTTATTTGGATAATTATGAATAATCATCATCCAAGTAATTTGGTATTTACTAAGTGGTTTGTGTGACATGTTAAAATTTGGCCCTTCAAGGTGTCGATTTCCTCTCCCTTATTTTAATAAATCCAAATAAGCGCCATCCAAGCAACTTCCAAACTTGGTTATGTAGCGGTTCGAGAGAAGAAGTCGTATAACAAGTTAAACGGACGATGGACATGAGCTATGACATAAGCCCCCTGTGCAGTTGGTCCGACGGACTCAAAGCTTGAAGATATTTAATTTATAGAGAAACATAAGCAACATTTCAAATCTTATATGGAGACTGACGAGTCATTAAATTCAAATTGTTTGCGCTGGTGTTATGGTCGAATAAGCTAGATCAACCAAAGCTACATACGTGAATAACATACCTTATTGGTTTATGCAGTGTTTTGGGAGTAAGCTAACCCTAGACGTGCAAATAATTTGGATTGTAACAATAAACCTGTACCAAATGTACATACTTTTACAAAGAATAGTATAATGCACTCCTCTACAAGATCTATTGTGGCTGTTATACATAAACAATAACTAAACAAACCTGTTTCCTTGTATATAGTATATTATAATACACTGTCTGCTTCACTTGGCATCAAGCCTAGTTCTTGTAGTCGATCGTTTTTCTCGGCTGCAGGCTAATGTTCACTGAATACACTCTATAGTGGTGTACGTGTCTGCCGAACGTTGAATGAGCAAGAAAGTCAAATAACCTCAGTAAACTGACTTGATTTTCCTTGTATAGGTAAATAATATGGCGAGCCTATATCTACAACAGTCATATATAGGTCACGGTTAATGATTACCACACCTGAACGAACATATTTTTATACAATTTTTCATTGCTATATGGAAATATTTAGTCTGTTTATTAGTTGAACATTAAAACCTAGCTCAGTTGTTGATGGGTGTTATAATTTTTAAAAAAGTCCATGCCTCGCACAGGACACCTGTCATAGGCCTACATTTTTATTCTATATTATCGGATTGGGCGTGCACTTAAGAAATAAAAAGATTTAATAACTTCAGACGAAAAAAAATCTCAGTAAAAAAGTCGTCCATGGCAGTGGTTTGAAATTTTGCATTCTTACAACGCAGGATATACGTACTGTTTCTAGAAAGAGCCACGGTGGCTATAAGACGCTGGCTCGCTAGCTGCCTGCGGAGGTCGCGGGTGTTCGCTCCCTGTGTAGGCCGAAAAAGTTCGAGATTTTCCGGCGTGGTTCCCCTTGTCAATGGCGCAGGACGGAAAGCCTAACAAGGACAGCTGTCTGGTCGTTCGGATGGGACGAAAACCGAAGTCACATGTACACATTTGCGTGTACATAAAAGATACCTTGGAATTCGATATAAGAGTAGGTCGTAGCAAAATTTCCATCATAGCACACTGTAGCTAGGGCGTATGCTATGCCCGTCTTTATTAGCCCAGTCGGAGCTGAACTTTACTACGTTAAACCCCATTTCATTTCTACACCTCATGTCACTACAAGGGCAACCAACTACGAAATTTGGCTAGGCGGCATCACCAACAAATGGTGGTCTTCTAAAATGTATTATATGATAATCCCATGATGAATTTGTTCCTTGTTCATTACTTTATTCCTGATGCCTTGCACAAGGATGGCCATTTTTGGACTGGTCGGACCTTTTTACAACCGTATTTGCGATTTTTACAAGCAGGCAATAAACGTTTAGTGACCCCTTCGACTGGCTGACGATTGCTCAACTGAGAGCACTCAAAACTACTAGTTCGGTGGACGCATGCTCAGTTAGATCTGAGAATTAACAACCTGCTTGGTATTTGAAGATAAAAAGTCAAAGAAGCTTGAAGTGTACATGTGTTGTTCATTACAGGTGGTTGGGGTTTTTTCAAATGTGTATATTATGTATGCATGCTGTCCATAATGGACGTTTTGATGCAATAAACATCTTATCTTATCTTATCATCGCAACTTTCTGATCGAAGCCTAATGCCAAAATCATTTTACCGGTCAAAATAGGTTATTTTTTATATCTATTGTGTAGAAAACATAAGATTTTGAGGTCACCGTAAGGGGCGAAAGTGGTGAAGCAGTAGACTGGGTATAACATTGATTTCCAACATTAGGCTACGTATCAAGTTTAATGCTGTAGGATAAAAATATTACAAATTTGACATCCGGACAACGAAATTTGAAGTGAATTCTTTATCATCAGATGGGATACTGGTCTTCAATAAGGTGGATACAGGTGAATTTAAAATACAATAAAACTTCTTTCGTCAGCATATAAACAGAACCTTTGACCTTGATTAGACACTCTGAATAATCAAAATCATTCAAACTATTTCGCGGAATTTCTGTATCACTAGAGTTTCAATAGGTAGATTTTTCCACGGAAAGGCACGTTGGTGTCTTCAGATTCTTGATAATAGGCCTACTAACTGCTATGAAGTTGTTATACATGTACATTGAATTTAAAAATTTAAAATTCAGCCAATGAGCAAACAGTCTTTTCTTGGATTAACTTTAATGAGTCCCTTAGCGAACGGATAATGAAATTGACTTTCCAGCAACAGATATTTAACGGACCGTTAACAAATAACGATCCGTTAGAGTTTAACGGATCGTTAAAAATAACTTAGTTTTGAGCAACCCAGCCCCGGCAGAGAGAGTCTAGAGCGAGAGGATATTTAACGTCCACTCGACACATACTTTGTCATTTCGAGACTAACATATGGTTCAATTTTATCTCAATAATTTGCTTGCGCGTAGAGGTCTTTAGCAGTGGGAGGGAACCGGAGGACCCGGAGAAAACCCACGAGGTTGGACAGGCGACCACTCCTTAAATAAGAGAGAGAGAGAGAAATGGGGTTTAACGTCCACTCGACACAAACTAGGTCATTTCGGGACTAACATGGTTTAATTTTATTTCAATAATTCGCTTGCGCGTAGGGGTCTTTAGCAGTGGGAGGAAACCGGAGGACCCGGAGAAAACCCACGAGGTTTGACAGGCGACCCTACTCCTTGTCACGTACAACCGGGGATTCGAAACCACGCCAGTCGACTCAATGACAGACTTTATGATACAGCGCGCGCACGCTAACCATTCAGCCATCCAACCCCCCTGTCACATATAAACGGCGAATCTAAACCACACCAGTTGACTCAATGACAGACCTTATGATACAGCGCGTACGTGCTAACCATTCGGTCATCCAACCCCCTACGAGTACAAGTGCTTGAATTAAGCTTTGTGATAATTAAATAAATGCTCTCAGTCTCGTATAACGGCTGGTTGGGATTTATTAAAAGGGAAGGTGGAAACCAAAGTGATTTTTTTCCGAGAAAAAAATCTACTCCAGAAAGTTCATTTTGTTGCATTAAAACATACGGCCTTACATTTTAATCTTCCAATTAAACGGACAACGCCCTGACGTAACGTAACGTTTATAGATAAACGTCGTAAAATGATGAAGATTTATAAATATTGTTAAATAATGTATGAATATTAGTAATGTGTTTAAATTGCTGCTGTGAACATTTCGTGATGCTTTCTACGATATATTTTTCCAGGATCATGAAAAGCATTTACGACTATCATAAAATGGTTTGCTGTGTACCTGGATTCAAAATGGCCGTGTTTGGAAAAGTGGAAATGATTTTGAACGTTTCTTACGGTATATATTTGATATTATCGTTTATATTCTCTTAACGCGAGAGTAATGAAGCAATTATAGTAAAACGATGCGAAAGCGTGTATGATTATCATTATATAGAAGAATCTAATTAGTTATAAGCTTATCAGCATGGGCCAACGGCAAAATGTTTCAATTTTTGAGTTTTGACTGACTATTTCATATTTGTCTATTTTCAACTTCAATGAGATACTTGACAAAATCCTCTGATGGACATCTTTTTTAGTGGCATTTAGGACCTGTATGGGCTACTATAACGGCATGTCATATATTTACTGTCTGAGTCTTGGTAAATTTTAAACGGATTTCTTCGATTATGAACAAACTACTTAACTTTGGTTATTATAAACTTACCTGTGTGTTTGTAATGAACTCCCGTTCGATAAAATCCATTGCACAATTAATTATCACAACGATGAAAACAAGTTCTCTCTTGAAAAATTGAAATATCACAAACTTTTCCCAGAGAAAAATACCAATATGGAAGATGGTTACGTCACTCTGCGGAAGATATCATTTCGTATTAGGGGTGACAGCATAGGAAATTCAAGTACAATTACGACAAGAATCCATGACCACTCGGACCAAAGACCACTCGGTTCAAGATCAGTCGGACCAACTGATAGACCACTCAGCCCAAACAAATAGACTACTCGGACCATACAAAAAGACTATTCGGACCCAACAGAAAGACGACTCGGACCAATAATAAAGTGTTGTTTTAATAAATTGATAATTGCGTTTGTTTTAATATGATTACTCGAACCAATAATAAAGTGTTATTTTAATAAATTGATAATTGTGTTTATTTTAATATGACTACTCGAACCAATAATAAAGTGTTATTTGAATAAATTTCTAATTGTGTGTGTTTTAATATGACTACTCGAACTAATAATAACGTGTTGTTTGAATAAATTGATAATTGTATTCCAAATCGCAAAATATCGAGAACCACACTTGTAGTCACGTTTAAAAAGGGGCATATAAACGTCCGGCCTTCGTATTATTATGTGCTGTTTATATTAACGCATCAAGGGCGGATAACTTGAAAACGTGTCTCCCCCCCCCCCCCCTATATAGTAACCCAGGGGTTAGTGGGGTAGAACGGAATGAAACCACTGGGGATACCGCGAATGTGGAAAAAGTAAAATTAGGCTATCAGACAAGAACAGTATACCCGTATATGTAGAAACTGTCAAAAGTCTGGACATACCGAGTCTCATTGCAAGAGTAAATAAGAAAAATTAGATTGATATTTTTTTTGGCACCATTATTAATTAATTTTAAAACTAATCGCTGATTTATTTTCCGTACACAAAATTGAACTAAACAACTCTAAATATAAGAATTCCGTATAAGAATTATTTGCTTCTTTGTATTGTGATATAATAATAAATAAATAGCATATTGTCTAGCCTTATAATATAATTTAATTGGTCCGACTGGTCTTGTTTTGGTCCGACTGGTCTTAGTCCGAGTAGTCTTTGGTCTGGATACCTACGACAATTCGCATTGAGTTTGAGCGTTCGCACCCATAACTACCCGCATTCCTGTATTTAGTTACCGTCTTTTACATTCTAGTAAAATCTCTGCAAATTTTATAGCTTTACTTTTTGAAATATTTTGTTCTAATTATTTGATTAGCGACTCGGATGGGATTATTTACTTTTGAACACGCATGCCGCACAAACACAACTATACATTCGTTTTACGGGCTTTATCACACTTCGGTCAAAACTGTTGAATCGAGAATTAATGTTCCGCTTCTTACGGGGTCATACGGGCTTAGTAGCATTATATACCATTATATATGTTACTGAAGCGGTTATTATTCGATCGAAAGAATGCGTATAAAATTAAAAATACACTCAGAGAATTCGGAGGTAAGCTTCATGATCCTTGTTAAATTATTTATAACATAAAGAAGATAGGATATATATAGTTTATACATGACTTTATTTTTACGAGTATCCGTGCAATTGTGAAGAAAATTTGATATACTGGCGATCAATGGTTTCCATATAAATCTCCTATGTAATTGCCTTCAATTGATATTTTTCGTCGCCCAAACCCATATACGATCAAAATGATCGCGCTGTCAAACTATCTTTCAATGTTAACCAACCCCCGCAACAGGTATATTGGATTCGACCAATACGTCATGAAGACATTGTTGACATCGACTCTGTCGAAATTACAAGTAAATTTTCAAATTTTTCAAGAGAGAACTTGTTCTCATCGTTGTGATAATTAGTTGTGCAATGGATTTTATCGAACGGGAGTTCATTACAAACACACAGGTAAGTTTATAATAACCAAAGTTAAGTAGTTTGTTCATAATCGAAGAAATCCGTTTAAAATTTACGATGGTTCACACAGTAGGCAGTGTTTTGAAGAGTAAGCTCAGGCTGTTAACTAGAGATAAACTGTAGGCCTACTGTAGGCCTTCTTAATCTTATATTTATAATAATATATATAAGCAGTGGATATTCAGCCATCCGACGGTTCTTTACTTTCTTTACTATTTAGCCATCACTTCTGTTTGACGTGCGCATTTGTCTGATTCCTGGACTTGGCGGTTTTCGCCGGCTATTTCAACTCGTGGCCTATTTTACCGTCTGTTGGTATCTCCAGATTAGTGGCAGCCATTTTGTCCGAGATATCCTGAGCCAGGGCTTCCCTACCTGTACCCTGACCGAGTGGCGAAAGCGCGCTTCTGATTTGCTGTGTGTGGAATTCCCATGTTTCTTAGTCAGGATTAATAGGTCTTGTTCGACAGCGAGTTTTACAGCATCTTGATGTTGCTACACTGATTTGCAATTCACAAACTTATAGCTACGTTATCTCCCTTTGCAGCAGACGTGTGAACAGTAGCGTGGAATCCGAAGTTGTGACACAAATACACTCAAATCAAACATGGCTATCTCCATGGAAACCTTGACATTGATTGAACGAAACTTGAACTTTGCAACTCGATTATCACAATTAGACATTTTAGCTGGAAAGCGGGAGACTTGGTATTCATGATAATCAAGGAATCTGATAGACTCTCAAGCTGGGTTAGTACCAGTCCAAATTAGTGCCGAAAGTAACAGTAAAGTCAACATTCTTGAGATGCGGGGGATCTATTCTCTCAATGTTATTAAACTTGCATTATGTCAGAGCTAAATCTACCTATTGCAAGTCTTTCTTTGGGCCTTAAATGTTATAAATTATTAGACATTTATTAACATGACAAGACCATAATCAACTCAATGCCGTCATGGCTCCGATTTTACGTAGATTAGAACAGTTAGGCCATTTAATAATTTAAAAATGGAGAAGCAAGGCTAAGACTCAAATGACCAATGCATACATCTAGTCAAAACCTATTGATAACTTTGCTCAAAATAAAGTAATTTGAATGAAATTTTCAATATATTCATTTAGCATTATCTTTTTTTGAAATATTATAGCAAGAACAGGCAAGTTCATTATCTAATTATCTATTCTAAATCTTATATAATGTCCCTTTAAGTTTAAGTTATTATTTTGTCAGAGGTTTAAATACAGATACATGTTCAACAATAATATCTGGTTCTAGGGCATAAGTGAGATTTTAGATTGATTAATAAAGTGATATATTATTTACATGTATGCCTACCATACCGGTACCAGTATTTATTTACTAGTAACAACAACTATTGACCCAGAATAGTGGTCCATTAGTTAAACATACATTATGCAAGAGGTAAATTTGCCTATTACAGGTCTTTCTTTAGGCCCAAAATGTTATCTAAACTATTAATAAGACATTTATTAACAAAACAAGACCATAATCAACTCTCGATGGCATCGAATACTTGCGATTTTAACTAGATTAGAACAGTTCGATATTTAAAAATTTAATTTAAAAATGGGAAAGCGAAGCTAATTCTCGAATATACCAGTTCCCTGGTTACCACAATGCATACATCTTGTCAACTCAAAACTACACACAGTAATAACTTGGCTCAGTCAGAATGAAGTAATTTGAATGAAATTTTCAATATTTTCATTTTAGATTATCTATTATTGAGCTATTACTATTATAGTAAGAATGGTCAGCTCTTTATCTAAATCATAAATAATGTATCTTCAATTAATTTTTAAATATAAGCCTATTTTTCTAAATTTTTCAAGGATCAAAAAAGTTTGCAATTAAATTAAAATTACCAGATGATGATAAAGGTGACGTTTTAACTGTGAAGCATCTGATGGAAGCCATTGCAGAAGTAGCTGAAATTAAACCAGAAAACCAAAAGCTGATCTATAAAGGTGAGTTGTAAAATACGTGGACAGTTATTTTATGTTTTTGACCCGAGAGAACATTTATTACATGTAAGCTTATATTATATATTTTATGGTGTTGACCAACAAGAGAATGTTCAGTTAAGCCTATTCTATGATTTTAAGACGACTGCCAGCAAGAGCACTATTATATGGTGTCAGCAGGTCTGCAATATGAAATTAATTCCAACAGTTCTAATTTTTATGATCATGTACTAATGGGCCTGCCACTTTTCTTACAAATTATGTCAAAAATTTATTGAACATAGAAATGTGTCAAACAAAACTTTGACATGACTTTATTAATAAGAAACACAAAAAAAGAAGTAAATCCATATTAATAATTATGACGTATGTCATATTTATACTCAATTTGTGAAATTTCTGGCAGAAGCTTGTTTTTATTTTTAGTTGTTTGTTAGGTGTATCTCACAATGCATCAGTCTCATTATCTGCGGATAATCCAAATATCCTTAAACGTATCAGTTTTAATAGACATGTAATCCTTTTGTGGCATTTAGCAATTGGAAACATAACAAAACTGACACAGTTATATGGGACAACAATCACTGGTTTATTATACACAAGCACAACGTTTCGATAAGTATTCTCTTACCGTTATCAAGCACAATGACATTTAGTAAACTTGAGGGTCTATATATATGTACAATGTGAAACCATTCTTATTACTAATGATTAGAAGAGTTCAAACAATTAACAGACATATTTAACATCAAAGCCCTGAAAAGCATGTACATCTATATCCTTGTCATCACATGGTGCTTTTTAGGTCTTTGATGTTAAAGCATGTACATGTATATCCTTGTCATCACATGGTGCTTTTCAGGTCTTTGATGTTAAATATGTCTGTTAATTGTTTGAACTCTTCTAATCATTAGTAATAAGAATAGTTTCACATTGTACATATATATAGACCCTCAAGTTTACTAAATGTCTTTGTCTACGATATCACCTTATGGATGGCTCACGCAATCCTGCAAGGGGCACCAGCTCGTTTGGAATATACCTGCCAAACGGAGAACAGGGAATAAGCAGGAAACTGCCCAATAACTGTTCGGTGTACACTGCAGCGCTTGTGGCCATTCGTGACGCTATATCATGGATTTCCCATCAAAAGACTAGTAAGTTCGTCATTCCAAGCGACTCCCTGAGCAGTCTGATTTCAATCCAAAATGACAACTCGGACTCAAGACCAGAAGTTATTTTGGAAATCAGGCAGCTGTACCAGAGGGTTTTAGAGAAGGGAAGCAAAGTAGAACTCGTGTGGATTCCATCACATGTCAACATTAGAGGAAACGAGGAGGCAGATCGACTCGCCAATGAAGGTCTCAAGGACACAGCACCACTCTGCACCATAGACTACAGCACCACGGAAATCTACAGTATGGTCAAAAGACACGTCAATTCAATCTGGGAATTAAACTTGACACATACAGATTCCGGCTGGATGACACTCAATCACCCTAGAAGAGATATTTGTAGACTTATATCGAAGCTAAGGGTGAAAGAGCGGCTGCGAGACTACAAACACCAAGTCATCATCTGTGAGTGCGGAGAAGAATGTACCACCAACCATGTCCTGGTAGACTGCGAGGTATACAAGGAGAAGAGAAGGGAACTAGTGGGAACAATGGAGTCCAACAACATACCATTCAACACTAAGAACCTACTCTTCCCGAGACCAGATCTGAAACTGCAAATCTTCGAACAAATCCACGCCCTAATGGACACAGTTGGACTAAGTAGAATAGTGAAGTAAGAGGGGGTCACGGTTAGACGGGCCCGGCATCTAAACACTAAACTACATAGGGGATTTATACTAAACTGGCAGGATAGTGGAGTAAGGGGGAGTCACGATCAGACGGACTCGGCATCTAAACACTATTCCACCAAAAACAGACACCAAACCTACATAGTGGGATAGTGGAGTAAGGGGAGGTCACGATAAGACGGGCCTGGCACTTAAACACAAACCCCACAAAGATGACATCTACCAAACTAGCAGGATAGTGGAGTAAGGGGGAGTTACGGTCAGACGAACTTGGCACCTAAACACTATTCCGCAAATAAAACTGATACCAAACCCAGAGAGTGGGATAGTGGAGTAAGGGGAGGCCACGATAAGATGGGCCTGGCACCTAAACACTCACCCCAAACGATGACATCTACCAATCCAGAAGCAGACGAGATCATCTACCAAACGATATGTTTTATATTAAATAAAGGGAAGAACTTCCCACTAACCCAAATCCATGGCCTAAGGCCAAATGGAAAGATTGCAAAATCATATTCTAAAAAACAGGAATCAGCTTCGGCTCTCCTATGTCTTGTCTGCGATATCACTTATGTGGAAGCAGACGTTAAACACCGAGAACGAACGAACGATATCACCTTAGGTGGAAGTGGACGTAAAACTCCAGAAACGAACGAACGAACTAAATGTCATTGTGCTTGATAACGATAAGAGAATACTTATCGAAACGTTGTGCTTGTGTATAATAAACCAGTGATTGTTGTCCCATATAACTGTGTCAGTTTTGTTAATAGACATGCATGAAGGCACAAGTGCATTAATTGAATCCCACAACATAATATTTTTGTACTACTCTTATTTAATCAACAGGTAGGTCATTAACAGACCCATCTCAGACTCTAGTTGGTCTTGGTGTAAAAGATGGGGCCAAAATAATGCTGTTAGGGAAGAAGGTAAATCTGTTTGAACATCAAGAAATCAAATCATTGTGATATCAGAGTAGGCCTACCGTATTTTATTACGTTTGAAATATTTTACGAATAAATTACTTAAATACGCTTATATGTCTGTTTCAAATATCAGCACAGGTATATATATGTATCATTGCAATGTAATCTTTAATCTACATATAATCTTTGAAGGGATAGAATTTACCAGATCATCAGCAACTACATACTTTTTGTTCTATTATGTTCTAAGGGTCATCTACGGATTATCCATGGAAGGTTGCCACTAGAGTCAACTAAATGAAAGAATGAGTGAAATCAAGTGGAACACAATTTCGATACTTTGAAGCATATTAAATCAACAGAAATTGCCTTTCAATCAATTAAAATTTGATCCATTCCTTATATCACTATCAGTAGCATGCAGTTCTCAAAAAATTATTTTATTATTAATTCCCACTGTCGTGTAAGATGAAACTTATTTTTTTAAATGTTTGACTCAAATAAAAACACTGAAAATGATTTTTTCAATAAACAAAATATAAGTTAGTTAAACAAGTGCCTACCAGTCGATTGTCAAAGCTAAATTTTATTTTTTATTAATGTTTGTGGAAATTATTGGTAAACCAACCATAATGTGTTCCAGTGCTCTGCTGATGATCAGAAAATGGGGCAAGTAGAATATAGGGATACTGTACATGTATAAAGAGTTAGATATAAAATGTTTTTGTTATTATTTCAGTCAGTGGCACATGATACAGAAGATGTGAAGAAATTATTTACCATCGAGATAGCTGTTGAAAAACATGATGGTAAAATGATTGAATTACGTGAAGAGATAGACGGGATCAGAAAGGTGAACATACTTCATTTTCATTTGTATGTAGTCTTGATTGATCCAGTCCGAACAGTCTTTGCTTAACTGTTGCAGATATTGGTCTGAACAGATTAGCTTCATTTGAGTATTGTGCCTGACTGTAACGAATTGTGGGATATGTTTTTGCAATCCAACTGTTCACAATGCATTATCCATACTTTAAATGCAAGATAAAAGTCATTCATCCTCTCCTAAGTCCTGCTCTTTTGACAACTCAAGCTAGTTTGTCCAGTGCAATCAAGATTTATTTTTATACTGATGCATTGGTTAAAAATTTAATCTACTGAAAAAGATTTAGGTACATAACATATCAGCTTTTTGAAAAATATTTCAGGGTTTCTTAAATAAAGATCTGGTGGATTCTGCTTTGTCTCAATTAAAGAAGAAAGTAGGTTTAACAAATGAACAATTAATGAAACAATTTGAAGTATTAGATGCCTTAAGATTGGATGAAGATAATAAAGAAGCTAGAATTAAACGTAAAAATGTTGCCGATAGATTAAATGTGAGTAACTAGAAAACCCTGTATTTTGTAAATGAGGTGTATAATAAAACATACAGATGACATGTTGCCTTCCTTACATGATTTTAAAAAGGAACATAATAGTAATGTTTTTTTTATTTGACCTTTTCTCAATGAAACATATAATTGAATTAAAGTAAAATGCATTTCTAGGATGTCCTACGCTGGATTATTTAAAAACACAAGGTGTGTGAAGTTGTTAGGTCACCATAGTCTACACACATATATAATTCATTGTCTGTTCTGTACTTGTCAGACAACTAATTTTCCCGGTCATTAGTTGTTGAAGCATTGTATAGATATTGATATTTCTAGGAACGGGGAAAAACCCGTCAGAATTAGATTTTGATATAAATATAATGTTTCTTTTTAATGTATATTTTTTTGACTTTTAAAAGTTGTCTAACGGCTGTAATAATGTGTGGATTAACCAGATGTCAGAACATGTTAAACCCAATTTTTATATGTATATACATACCGGTACCCATATTTAATGTGAATGTATACTGTTGTCACCTTTATCCAGCCTAAATTTCTTGTGACCACTCTTACAAATTTTCATTGATTGTTCAGTGAGTCATATGGAAGACCCTTATCGATATTTATAATTTTTTTTTATCACATATCTTGAAGTTATCCCCTTTTTACATGATACATGTATAATTTTGTGGGATTATTCTTTAGTGTATGAAAAAACCCTATTGATTTCCAAAATTGTTGTTGTGATTTGTGGAGTTACCTTCTTACAGTCATACTTTTACTTTTAAAGCATTTAAATGCATTACAGGACAAACTTCTCCATGGACTTTTTGGAATTCTGTATTTTTCTAGTTAATCATGCAATCTATGTTCCTATTTATGAAATCTCTTAAATGCTATACAGTTCCGAGTTCTAAATAGGGATTGTACTTTGGGGTATATGGAAGAATCCTATTGATTTTTAAAATTTTTATATCTCAAATTTCGAACTTATTATCTTTCTGTTCATGTTATTGTTAAAGCTTTGGATAGAATTGATAGGGGTGTTTTTTGTTAGTTTGACCTACAGGATTTGTTGACAATGATTTTACAGACAAATTTGCTCCTGATTGGACCTGACAATTATTTTTTAAATTAATATCCTCTTTTTCCTCCATTTATTTCAGAAAAGTTTAGATGCATGTGAAACCTTATCTGAAGAAGTAAAAGAATTACAATCAAAAGCATCATAATATTAATTCATTTGTATATAACATCTTGTAAATATTATGTAATTATTATTTTGTATATTTCAAACTATCAACTGCCCAAACTGTCTAAACCTTATATAGATTTGTTTGTATTAATTTATGTAAGTATTAAAGAACGGTGCAATAAAAGACTTGCAATCTGCACGTGATATTGGTTTTTATAATTTAAATGTGGGTATATGCTGTTGTCCACAGTTTTTTGTGTCCATTCTTTAGGTCACAGTTTTCAACAGACTTTTTTCAAATTGGAGGGGATTACTGATTGGGTTATCCCGCAATTTCCTTTCAAATATATGAAATCTGTTGAACACAATACAGGCCACATTTCTTGATAGAATTTTTCAGAGTTCACCGGGATTATTCATTTAGGTTTAAGGAAGAACCCACTCCATTTTGAACACAATACAAGACAAAGTTCCAGATGGAGTTTCTGTGTTTAGTTAAAATCTTTCAATGCAGGTCATTATGTAGATGCAAAAAGGACCATTTATGCACCAAATTTACAAGAACTAAGTATACATGTATCTCATTTCCACGGCATAGTCATGCTTGTACGGCCTACTCTTATATCGAATTCCAACTGCCAAGGGATCTTTGACCGTGCACGCCAATATGTACACTGGACCTCGTTTTTTTGTCCCATCTGAACGACTAGAGAGCTGTCCTTGTCAGGCCCTCCGTCCTGCATCACTGACAAGGGGAAACCATGCAGGAAAATCTGGATGAACTTTCTCGGCCAATGCAGGGATCGAACACCCGACCTCCAGGCTAGCAAGCCAGCCTCTTAGCCACATGATTCCCTGTTGCTGGGTACACAACAAATGCATTCAACATCCTTGCACCTAACAGGTCAAAGCAGGCAGAGAATGAAAAGAAACTTAAGACAGTTAAAAAAAAACCTTTAATACAACAATAAGCTTTATAATAATTATATTCAAATTTTGATAACAGTGATGATAAATATAAGATTATTTATATTTACAATGAGCAAAGGTTATGAAATGAATCCATCATTTGACCAGCAAACCTCCATTAAAAACGAGTCAATTTAATTGGGAAATTTTCTGTAACTAAATGATCATCTTGGAAAACCATTACAATATTAATCTCAAATTCTGAAATATATATATATAAAAAAAAATGTTAATGATTTAAATAAAATATTTTATAAGATATTTTTCACAGTTTCACAATAACTTTCATACCGGTACATATTAATATGGTTCCCAGAAAAATATAATTTACAACAATTTTTTTAAATGTAGAAATATGTATACTAACCAACTTTAAAGTTATTTGTTGTTAAAGTAGGACATGTAAATAATCTAGGAAATATCATATATATAGGTATAGCTAAATTTCTACTTATATCACCATCTGCTATTTGTATATTCTGTATCTCTGTAGCTGTAATATATTATAATAGATCTTTCTAAAATACCTGGAGTTGTTAAATACCATGCATTAACAAACATAGATATAAATTATGCAGGTAGATGATTTTAATAAAAGATGATAATACATTTTTCTAAAATACCACATATTAACAAATATTGATCTAGTTGATTAAAACGTAAATAAAAATGGAATTTTAGTTAATGAATATATATACAATCAGTTGTATGTCACATCAGATTCCTATGTGTAAGTTTTTGACTTGGTAAATAAGAAAAAGCAAAAATTCCTTCCACACAATCAGATTAGTTTGAAGCATCTGACTCTTTCCATAACATTTTTTATGGTCATAGTGAATGTGATAGCTGAAAGATTGTGTAGAGTCATAACAATACACCTCTTTTTTTGTCAAAGTTTCAGATCATTTAAATGTACAGCCAGGTGTTGGAGAATTTTCACATAGATTCCATTGTAGAAAGTTTGAGGATGCTTCTTAGTAAAGATAAAAAAAAATTCTTGATCAATGTATAGTGTAAGGTGTTACAGGAAGGGAATCCTTGTGAAAACTACCCAAACACAGGTTACCAGGCACATACCCCCCCCCCCCCCCACACACACACACCAGCAGCAAAGTGGTCTAAAGTTATTATCCAATATCGCTGAACATCAATAGGATAAAGAACCAATATCATTTCAGACAGATTGGATCATAATTGAAGCCACAACAGTGCTAACGGTATTTTTTATTTTAAAGAGATGAACAACCGATATCAGTTTAAAATTATTTAATTGTATCCTCTTTTGTGCCAACTAGAAATGTGAACCAGGAAGGAGGGACAGAGTGACGACAATATACAACGGGCCTCATCATTCTCTCTACAGTCTGCCAGAGTCCTCAAAATAGTTCTGGAAAGGGCTGAGGAAAGAACCCAACATTTTACCCCAACTATTAGCAGGTATATGGGAGCCAGGGAGGGTAAGACACTGGCTCGCTAGTCTGAAGTTGCATGTCAGTGGTGCAGGATGGAGGGCTTGACAAGGACAACTGTCTATTCATTGGGATGGGACGAAAACCGAGGTCCTGTGTACAGGTAAAAGATCCTCTGACAATAGGAATTTGATATAAGTGTAGGCCGTGGCACCGCCGTCTGAGCAAAATTCCTAGCACACTATATGGCGTATAACAGTCTTCATTAGCCCAGTTGGAGCAGAACAGTAGGACGTTAAACCCCAAGTCCAGTCGGAGTAGGACGTTAAACCCCATATTTTACTTCAGTAGGTATATTTTAGGGTCCTCCTTAAGAAAACTAATTGTTTATTCTTAAAGGCCTGGTGCACCTGTCATTATTAATACATTGCTACTCACCATCTTTAGCATATCCTTCTGCACAGCCACAAGTTTCAACTCTAACTAACTGTATTTCAATGGATTTAATACCTCTACTACAATTTTCCACAACTAACTGTAAATAATGAGAATTAAAATAAGACTAAATATAAAGCAATCTAAGGAAGAGTCTAATCTCATTGTTTTATTCATTGTGATATTCTTCACGAATATATACTGAGACACAAAAATATGCCCCACTTTTATCAATGGATAATTTTAAATCTCTTTTAAATTACAAGAATAGGTCCATTGTTCTCATTCTCTATTTCAGTACCCTTATCTTGTCCAGGTGTCACAAGAATTTTCTAGAACAAAGCTGCTACAGCTATATTACAGTTACACACAGTGTAAAAGAGATTAATTTGATCTTTGGATTTAAGTTAATCATATACAAAGTAAATGCACCACAGGCTAATTGTTACAAACACAAAAAAATTGAATAACGCAGAATTTGAATCTTGAATATCAGTATTTTATTGTACTGGCATAGGGTATAACGAGTGGCTTTTAAGGATCTGCAGGAGACACAACGATATGTTATGGTTGACACCTGAACACTGAGAACATGTCATTGCTGTTATTTCAAGTGGGTATGTGTCCGACCCACTGGAAGCATCACTGGAACAAGAATTGGGAAGGATAACACAGGAGCGTGTGTGGCTGCTAGAGGTGAACATACATATTAATGACTGTAAAGTTGATTTTCTTGTGTCGGTAAATGAAAAGCCTACAAAAATCACATTTCAGCAGCATTATCTCTCGCTAGCACTACGAGTCAAACCAGTGATGCATTTTCATTGGTATCAGTATAATAATAATATCGTCATTTATAAAGCGCATTAATACTGAAGAAAATAGTTTCTAAGGCTCTGTAGTTTCTAAGGCGCTGTATATATACTCAGTTTAAAAAAACTTAACATAACACCAGGCACAGATTATTGAATAATAAAATACTGGTATTTACCTCCCCAGTTAATGGCGAGTTAATCTGTATATTAGAAGAATCTAACTTTCCTTTCACTTTAAATTTCGGAACATTTTGTTTCTGTAGAAAAAATATATATAGTATTAGATGTACACTCTACTATTACTGAAAAATTATTTTTTTTACATAGCCTATTATAAATTCAATATTTAATTTTTATGTATAATAAAATTGAAGAATCATCGGCTCTTGGTGTGCAAGAACATAATATGTTAGATGGAATTTGATGGAGACTGGAGAGTAAGAAGAAATGACAAAGTCAGGGCAATATATTGCTTCCTAGCATTGCATATATGACCTTAGAATAAATAATTGTACTTTAGTCTCAAATGACTTGGCTACTTTGTTGACAAAATGATAAAGACAAAAGGGTAAGTAAACGCAATTCTTTTATATTGTATATTTTCAGAGGAAAATCTGCTTAAAATGAAAACATCAAAAGCCAGAGAATTTATATTTTTTTTAGGCACACATCCATCCGCATATCTTGTAAACATCCTTTAGGTTCGATTTATTAGATTTATTTTTCAAACTTGCTGGGATATTGAGAGAGTCTTAAAGATACCTTAGTTAATATCTAAATATTCCTACTGCAAGTCTTTCTATAAGCTTCAAATGTTATATAGAAATTATTAATTACAATACATGCCCAAAATCAACTCTGTAGACCCTCGGATGGCTTGGATACAGCTTGGATTTAAACAGTCGCCCATTTAATAATTAAATCAGTAAATGGGTGACCAAGCTAACCTTTACCATTAATCACTGGCGTCACTCTCGGACACTGCCCATGAAAGGACTAACAATCAAGGGTATCATAGGCAATGAGAATGTTACTTGATAATCGAGAATATGTGGGTGGAGTTATCGTCTGTCAATCAACCAATCGGCAATTCACGCAGACAGTGCGGAGACAGTTGATGCTGGTTTCTAGTCCAAACTTCCAACAGTGATAACTGCGATCAGGATAAAGTAATTGGACTGAAATTTTCAATATTTTCGTTTTTATCATCTATTTTTGAACTGTTATATCAAGAATGGCCAACTCTTTATCAAAATCTTAACTAATGTATCCTTAAGGACGAACTCAAGTTGTGAGTTGATCTGTTGCAGAGTTACTTCCCTTGTCTTTGAAACTTTGTAAACACTCTACAGATCAGAGATTTATGATTTTTCTCAAACTTACTGGCAATGTTTGGTTTGTCCTAAAGAGAAATCCTGTGGTTATTCAGAGTTGCATAATGATTATTTGCAAAGTTACTGTCCCTGTTTCTACTAGACAGTTGTCCTGCACCACTGACAAGGAGCAAACCTAGCTGGAAAATCTTGAGGGACCATCTAGATCAATGCCGGGATCAAATCTGAAACCTCCTGGTTAGTTAGCCAGCTCCTTAATCACTTAGTCACATGTATCATAAAATTGTCAAATGGGAATAAAACATGTCAAAAAAAAAAAAAATGGCATGCATATGCTGGCACACATAACTTAGATTTATACAAAATCTGTTGGGTTTTTTTTTAAAAACATGTAAAGATCTGTAAATTGATAATCATTGTTTACCTCTTTAATATTGGATAATGTTTCTGGAGTTATTGTGAAATTTACTGGTTTGGAAATTGCTTTCTCTTCTTGTGCCTGTTAACAAAATGTTACATTTAAAACATATATACATATATAGTATTGTGTTTTAAGTCAAAGGTCAATTACGCAATAAGGTTTCAATCTGAAGTCCTAGATGCTGCCTATTAGTGCCCATGGATAAAAAATGAACTGATTTTACATGATAAATAGATTATTTATATATTTATTAAAAGACAAATTGTACTAAGTCTGCAGTGATAACAGATGAACATGATGTGCTTAGAAATAAATAGCTGTGCATACCTTATATTCTACTATAAATTCACACTGTTTCTGTAAATCTTTATTTAATAAACTTCTCTTCATATCAACTTTAACATTATACTGAAAGTAATATTAATTTTTTAATGTTCATCAACAATTAATTTTCCTTGGCATTCAAACATCAAGGATAAACTACGGTCACATAAATAGTTTAATAGTTTATGGTTGCTACCATTCCCCCCCCCCCCTCTCTCTCTCTCTCTCTTTCACACATTGTTCTAAAATTAAACACGTCTGATATATAAGAGATCATAATGGAAAATGACAAGCAATATTTTACTCTTTGTTTGTTTTTTTTTCAAATTGGAGTTGTACAGTACATCTACACCAGAGAAGAAAACAAAACAATTTGTTTACTTTATTCTATTAAAAATACAGTACCAGAAATACATACTTGCACATTGACAAAAACGCCATGATAAGTTTCATATAAAGTTTTTCCCACGATTGGTTTTAAGGGAACTTCAAAGGGTATTTCTGTTTTACCATTGGGTAATTTTCCTGGTTTCACAACTTCTAGGGAATAATTTATAAGTGGAATAGGCTGAAAAGTGAAACAAATATCTTGTTTGTAGGTTAAGTTTAAAAATTTATTTTACCTTTGTTGATACATGGATGAATATTAATCTCATATGTAGGAAAGAAAAAGTAAAATACATAGCAAAATGTTGAAAATAATATTGTTATACTTTAAAATCAATACATGTGTATCACAAAAACCTGAATTATACCTTTAAAGAGTTGTAAAAGGCTTCAAACATGCCAACACTTTTAGCACTAAGTTGTAGATTAACATTACCATCCATAGATAATGTTAAACCCTGATGTTGTAATACTCCTCTACTCTCTACGATTATAATACCGGCAACTACATCCTATAATACAATCATAAAATTTTTAGGAAAAACCTATTTCTATTTCACATTAAAAGACAATGATATTGATAAGACACAATTATGGACTTTATGGAAAACCAGTTATTATAAACAGATTATAAGCAAAAACAATGGAAAACAGAAGAACACCTTTGGTAGCTTATTGACGGTGTCTTTTTGTATTATGCTGTAATATTTTTTTAAGATTACTTGGACTGGCTAAGTTACATTAAAGAAACTAAATCGCTAATATTTGGGGCCTAGAAATTGACACAAATGGGTTGCAATGCATATAACAATGTAATATGAATGTTCATGTATATAAACTGATTTACATTCAATCGTTTCAGTTTTTACTCTAATTTCAAATCAGTTATGTTCAGCGAAATACGCCAGAAGTCTCAATCGAATGGCAATCTCTAGCGTCTAGTTTTTCCAGTCTACACCGATAGTATTTATTGAACATGCCCTTCAGATAAGAATATGGCGTCACTGTTTGACATGACTTGTGGAATATGTCTAGCGTCGAGCCTCATTCTTCGAGTCCCTTGTTACAAATAGTGCTCAAAAGCATTATGGTACACGATTCATGTACGAATGATAAAATGTTTCTTTTGTCTTAAATATTGGATATCAGAAGCCCATCTATTTCCGGTATGTTGATTTAAACTGACAAATAATTTGTGTTTTCAATGTTGAAGGCTTTGGATGATATTTATTAAGTTAGAGACTTGCCTATTTTCAGCAGATTGCTTTAGCAGATGAAGATTTCCGACTTTCTAATTGTGGATTAAATACTTTTATATTGAATAATACTTTGATCAAGCAGATAAAACATCAGGCAAATGAATCAGATCAAGTGAAGTGCAACGCTGAGATGAGATATATATCATTTAATTTTGGGCAGGTGCAGAAAAAGGGGTGTGGCAAGTGCATTAACCAGATATCCTCCAATAAACATGGTTCTATTCATTTTATACTAGTGTTTATTTAGAGGAATAGCTTGTGAGTCGAGAGATTTTTTTATCAAAATAGTAAATTTGGTTATATGTAATTACCCCTTCACGATAAGTTTTATTGACTTTTTTCAATCGGATGTCAATCGTGGCCATCTTGGACAGTCATGTGACACGTATGATGCTTACATCATTGCAAAATAGATAAATTTGACAAATCCAAAAATTCAAATAAAGGGAGGGGAACAAATAACAAAGATTGATTAGTGGAACATTTAGTTTTGAATCACAATGATCTAAAACCATGGCCACGCAGGTCTGTAATCTGTAACAAGTATTATTTTAGGTTGTAAGCGGCGCCATTACATTCACCGCCTGTACTTTTTAACACTTGATTGAACTGTTTTGTTATATTGCCACCATAGTTATTAGACATCATAAGTCAATTTATGTAATTCGACTGTCAAAAGAAATGTTGCATAAAATTGTATAACAAGCGCAAAGTTACCCCAAATGATCGAGGGTGTACCACAGAACAGCCGTTACTAACCACGCTTGTGTCAGGAATATCCAGACTAACTTTCGCGATAAAGGTAAAACGTTGGTAGAAAATGGATATGTATCTCGGTTGCCAGGTACATTATTGACCACTTAGTACTTACAAGGATATTAAAACTTTTTCATCTCGGTAATTGAACGGTAGTTGACGCTATTCACTGGAGTTTATTTAAGTGACAAAATGGATTGTTTATGAGAATACGGTTGTTTTTATGAAAGCCATAGTGTCAGTATAGTAATAATAATAACTGAAATTGTCGACACAGTTCGATGATATAGCGTCTTTATATTATCTCAGCATAGTGTAATGGATAATATATCTGATATTGTTGTAGGGTTGTAGTATTTACGGGATAAATTTATAATAGTTTTTATTTCTACAGCTTTTGAAAGGACTATAGCTCTAATAAGCTATACCGTTACACACAATTGAAATTAAAATATGGAAGTTAGGCCAGTAATTTTTGACAATCCAGAAATCTTTTCTGAAGAATTTCCCGACGATGTGTCGGTTAGTGATCTGTGTGATTGTGGGTAAGTGGCAATTGTAATTTGAGTATTTTCAAATAAACTAGGTGTATAATAAGTAGCTACTGTATATCTATGGATAATGGAACAATAGGGGACAAAATGATAACAGTAGCCTACGATAGGATTTATATGAAATCCTTATACGGCATTTAGTAACTGAACATATGATATAAAACACAAATTTATATGGAAAACAATCACTGGGTTTATTTTACACTACGTTTCAACAAATTCCTCTTGACATTACTTACTTGAGAACGCAAGGGGAATTTGTTGAAACGTAGTGTGAAATAAACCCAGTGATTGGTTTCCATATAATTTGTGTTTTATAGGATTTATATGATAAAGTTATCATAGCATGTACACACATGTATACTCACTATTTAATTGTTCAATATATCTATGACTATTGTATAAAATTACAACTTTAATGAAAGTTTACATGCAAGATAAATTGTAGGTTCTAAACAAAATCCACAAAACATTTAAAGTTTAAAAGTAAATTCTTCGATAATTAACGATTTTGATTACCTAGTCTAGATGATCATCCACGTTTGACCAGACCTCAGGGGAAAAAAACTTAATTATTCTTTTAAAAAATGTTGAAAAACAAAGTCTTTTTTTTTAAATCATATACACAGAGACAAATAGTTATTCAAAATAATTATAGTTTTATACTGAATTGCTATATGAAAGCCCCTGTACAAATGTTTAAAAGAAGTCCATTTGATTTGATTTATATTTGACCCTGTGTCCACAAAGACTAATGGCAGTCAATAAGCCCTTAATATCCCATAAGTAGTCCATAATGATTATTTGATATGACTGTTGATCTTTTCATATATCATGCAGTCGTGGTCATTATGGTCACTCCGGACCCTTTAATGTTCATAGAAAAGAGACCCTAAATATGGGTCGAGAAATACTTTGTATTTTTGCAATTTTTAAACACCGGCGAAAGGGTATTATATATTGTACGAACAATCACATGAATCTGACCTTCTATCCGTATATGCATACACCATACCGAACTAGACAATATATAATTATAATTATATTGTCTAGTTCGGTATGGTGTATGCATGTACGGATAGAAGGTCAGATTCCTGTGGAACAATTGACTGGCAAGTATTTTGGACTACAAAAACATTTGTATTATGTAGGTTATTATATACTATAGTTTATCACATTTAATTTATACATACATACATACATAACCCTTGCCCTAGGAGATATCTTGATATAAAAAAAAACATATCTCATTAGTCATTATGCTTTTTCTAGGCGACACAAACGTAGAAGACTACCTGGCTTCAGCAAGAAGTTGGCACAAAAACACAAAGGAGAATTCGGAAATACTGATTACAAATCAACATTCAAACCCATCAAGAATGTCAGACCTCGATCAAGCAAGCGACCCCCACCGTCTCCAAGAGATCCCAACCCTCCCCCAATGACATTTGTCACCAACCAGAGAACAGAATATACGAAACCAAGCAATCCAGAAAAAGTTGTGCCATATAAACCAGTAAGACTATTTTTTTCGCTCCAAATATTTCTAATAGGCAAATAATAATTACAGCCATACCTCTGTAAGTGGATCAACCATAATAAGCTTAAAGCCCTCTGTATACACGTTAAGTAGAAACCGCCTCTAAAAAAATGTGTATTCGATTACATAAACGATATGTGAATTAGATCAGTGAGGACACCACTCACTATTAAATTATTTTTAATCCGGGACTCTAGATTATGGAATTTCATTAATGCTTTATTCAAATTGTATTTCTTAGATCAAGACATCTATACTCTTTGTGTATTTTATCAGATATTGGCATTATGCATCGGAGAGAAAACAATATGCTTAATTTTCCGTATCTGAAGTAAAATAAATTTGAGTAAATTCTTAGTTAATTATCGGAATTATTCCTGATTCCCATAGATTAAAAGACTTCTTAGACGTAAAGATAAATAAATCTTTGTGGGCCCGGAGGCTTGGCCGATTTGTAATTAGAAAATTTGCAACAAATCTGCTGAGTCGTCAAGATACAAACTGTTTGAATGTCAACTTGTAATTTTCTATTTGACTATACAGTTACACAATGCGTGATCAAATTAGAAAATTTGCAACAAATCTGCTGAGTCGTCAAGATACAAACTGTTTGAATGTCAACTTGTAATTTTCTATTTGACTATACAGTCACACAATGCGTGATCAAATTAGAAAATTTGCGACAAATCTGCTGAGTCGTCGTCAAGATACAAACTGTTTGAATGTCAACTTAACACGAGTCGTACAATTTAGTGGTTTCTAATATTTTCGGTAATTAGAAGATTTAAATGATATTTGAATAATGATGTTATTCAAAATGAATTACATTTATTTAAATCTAGAGTGGCTATATCCACTTCCTTTAAACCTTAAGGGTGATTAGATTTAAAGATTTCTTGTTATAAATAATTAATCATTTACCAATTGTTCCTTGTATACTGAAATGTCAGAGCTCGACAATAGTACTAAGAACGCGAGCGGTGTTTAAGGAAATAACATTTATATAGCTTGTCGACACGAGTGCAACTCTTCAATCAATATATTTTTTTTCTCTCAGACTGTGATACAATAGATATGCTAAGAGCAGATACCTCGTTACAGGTGGATATCTGTTGTTTTTTCTCTCTTTTTTTTTGGGGGGGGGGGAGGCTCTGACCCTTCCTACGCACACTCACATCTTGACGTTGAATTGCAAAATAATCTAATTTTTAGAACCAATATTTAGTTTTTAGCCATCGATTTTTGTGTCCCAAAGAGGTTATTTATTTTTTATACTGATCATTGCCTCGGGCCCTTTAGACGGGACATCTGCTCCAATCGGTTTATTCGATATCCTAATATCTGTAATAAATTCAGTTTTGGTCATCGTTTTATGTATTGTTGTTTTTGTACGATTAATTTATTGTTCAACCTACGTTCATTTCAGGAGGAACATTATGAACCCCCGTCAAATCCGTTTGCCACTGATACATTTTACAAAAAAGAATATACACCGAAAGTAGTGTTTCCTGAAATATGTCAAGTCTCACCTCGAGCTGAAACTTTAAGGTTGTCGTCTGCTAAATTTGACCCGACGACTACCAGTAAAAGTCATTATAAGCGTTGGATTTCTCAACCCTGCAAATCCTTTGCAGAATTACCAAGTTTTGCAGGTATATTATTTTTTCATATTTTCGTAGTTTCTGTTTTATATCAGTTTTAAAACATTTGACAGAACACTACAGCTTATCCCGTCGATAAAATCTCTATGCAAAAGTGCAATTTTAATTAGTCGGATTGACGAGTGTATCCATTATACATTAATTATAATAAATGAGATTTTCCAGAATTAAGAGTGATTTGATATTTGAGTGCTTTGATAATACCGACTGCTTTAATATTAACATTGTTTTGCAGATTCTATAATATTTCCTAATAAGGAGAATTTACCAGATAGTGTTACTAGAGAAACATATGTTAAACAACATGTAGAATCAACAGAGCCGGCCAAACCAGCTCCTGCTAATTTAAAGATTGAAGGTTTTATTTTGAATTCTCTTAATTATAATACTATATTTAAATAGAATTATATAACCTACTATACATGACGTACACGATCGTTCTTCTAATGGTTTTATTCTTTCAGTTTAGTTTGAAAAAACACGACATATTGCTCTGTATACAAGACATACTGTATTTACAGTTTATTTTTGTTTTATATTTTTCTAATCATGTCGAAATGATCAAAGTTTATCGTTGGCTTATTTTATACGCTATTTTGCTAATTATAATTTAAGAAATATATCTTAATTGCAGGAACTATGGTATTCGATACGACACATGGTAAAACATATCGCAAAATTAGCGGTAATCATCGACCAGACAGAGTTAGACCACCAACTGAAATGCCCATCAATTGGCAAAAGCGAGGAAAGTTTCAGTCAGAGACACAATTCCGGCGAGATTTCCCCGGGTTTGGCGGACACCAGCCTCTGCCACCAGACCCTGCGGAACCCCCAAAGACAACAGTTAATTTAAAGTTACACGACAAGTGAGTTTTCAGTTAAAAGTTACACTGGGATAATATAATACAAAATATAAGTTAGCTACACTAACGTTGGTATCTTCAGCTGCCATTATTTATTTTATGATCAGTAGTGGAATACCGCGTTTTATCAGTGAAATAAAAGTGTTATTCCACTTGCTAGAAGCGGACAAAGTAGTCCATGTTGCTTTTACCTAAAATGATTGTAAAATCATAAAATAAATAGAACATTTGTCGTTTTGTCGTGAATAACATATTTTATTTCATCTCTAAGCAAGAAAACGTTTATATTTTCACTCATGCTACGCATTCGTGAAAATATAAGTTTTCTTGCTTCTCGATGAAATAAAATTTGTTATTCACTCTAAAACGACAAATATCCTCTATATATTATTACAAACTGGGTTTTCAGTATCACAAGCCTGGCTTCATGGGAATGGAATTTTACATTAAATTTTAGGTACTTTTGACATGCAAATTCGACTTTGCGTTTTGTAAAGTTGATAGAGTACAATGTTTTGAAATTAAATCCGTAATTAGTATTCAGGTTGACTTTGCCAGATACTCATGTCACTAATCTGTCCGTAAAATTTCTTATTCTGACGTTAACTCTGGTACGTACCAAATCCTTGTCGGTTCTTTCACAGGAAAGACGTCTAAATCTAAAATCTTAATTTTGCATACGCAAACCACAGAATTCACTACAAACGGTGGAAAGGTTCCTTGAATACATGAAAAGCCTTTCGAAATTCATGATTTTTTCGGATGACAAATTTTAGAGCTACTTCCCCGTTAGAGTTTTTAAATTCATAATATTAGACTGCAAAAAAGTGTCACAGTCTACCAGCCTATAACTCCACATTGAGGCTACAATTTAAATAATATAAATCCGTATTTATATGCTATGGGGAAATTGCACAGAGATCTGTTCTGTCAAACTTAAAGATGCATTATGTAAGAGCTAAATCTGCCTATTGCAACTAATATTTAGACCTGTATACACATGACAAGCCCACAAACAACTCACTAGACCATCGTGTGACGAGATTTAAATGGATTTGAACACCCGCGAGGTCTAAAAAGTTAACAATGGCTGTCAACATTTATTAGAAAGTGGTCATCGAAAAAGCATCCACATTTACTCATATGTTAAAACAGAACCCCTCGGTGGTTGTTACCCATGCCGTAGCTCTTCTTAAATACAGTGCCATTAACATCATTCGGCGAGTGAGTTTGGACAGACGCCACGACGTGTCCTTGTGGCATTTGTTTCAAACTAAGCAAGTCCAAAAACTTTACACAATTTCGGCATTGAACATTGTATATCTTACTAGGTTTTAGATTTGTATCTAAATCTTGGTGTTATTTTTTCCAGAAGGCGCAGTTTTAGTACAGAACAGAGAGCTATATATAAAGGCCATGACGTAAAAACATTTCCAGTGGCTAAATCTTTTAAACGGGACGAAGAGGAATATAAACCACCATCAATTAAATTTGAAACTGAAACTTGTCAAAAGGTAGGTGTCTTTTGCGAATTCTGACAGTCAGGGATTTTTTTTACGTGTACGCTACATTGTACACGGTTTGACTCATCTGAACCACTATGTCCTCTTTCCTTGTCAGCTCTAAAAGCGCCACCCCTGACAAGTGATAACTGTACTTAAAAAATCCAGAAGTTTCTGCACGGCCCACCCTGGGATTCGAAATGACTAAAACCCTTCCGATTAAAAATATCGCCGTGGAATTCTATTTCAATATACGACAATCATTGTCGGCCACAATCTGATTAAAAATATACAGATCTATATTTCGTTTCGTTTTTTTAAATACTTTCGATGGCTTCTACTACATAAAGATGTGACCGGTTGTAATGGAGGGTCGCGTCGGAGGTTATAAGAGCAGCTTTTGACCCTATGCCGCCAGACATTTGATTAGCCAATAAGCGTTGATGTTTCTAGTGGGTTACTCTCAGTTCCGTGCACCTCACGCCAAAAACTCGGCGTAACAGACCGTTTCATTGGCTAATCCCTCACGCCAACCAGAACGTGGGTTACATAACAACTCGTCCAGATCCTTGTGTAGTAAAGACAAATAAAACGAAATTTTGAACTATTAAAAACAAAACGAAATTTTGAACTATTAAAAACAAAACGAAATAGGGTCTGTGTTTTAATCAGATTGTCTCGGACAATGGCATAAATAAAAGGTAGTGGTTAAGGATTTTACGATCGGGCTTGACCAGTTTTCAAATTTGTGGCATATAATAGTATACATACTATACTAGATATTTGTAGACCATTGCAGAAACTAGTCTCCACGCGCCACACATTTTGTTCTGACTGTTGTTCTCCTTTGGGACGACGCTCTTCGAAAAAGCCCAAGGCTCCGCCAATTCATATACGAACGACATGAAACTTGACATGCTTGTTCTTTGGACAATTGCGCATTCTGCGATGACGTCATACTCTGTTCCTGGTCCATAGTACGATGATACTTGTTGATTATTTACAGATCCCATAAGACAGAAATGAAATGGGGTTTAACGCCCTACAATTACAAGACACCGATATCAATTTCATACAGATCGGATGATAAGGCTCTACAAAGTGAAATGAAATGGGTTTAATGTCCTTCCTTTCTGCTCCAAGTGGGCTAATGAAGACGGGCATACGCCATACAGTGTACTATGAGGAAAATTTTGCCCGGGTAGCGGCACTATGGCATACTCTTATATCGATATCCAACTGCCAAGGCATCTTTTAGGTGCACGCTAATGTATACACGGGACCTCGAATTTTTCGTCCCATCCGAACGACTAGCCGGCTGTCCTTGTAGCCCCCCCCCCCCTTCCTGCACCACTGACAAGGGAGATCCCCTAAAACGTCTTTCACCCTATTCAGCGTTACCTGTAATTTGTTCTAAATATATATATATTTATTTTCCAGAGAGACTTTCAACCGATTGATTTCAAAGATGTGTATCCCGTTCCTTCCATTGTACCTGTTAAACAACTCCACACAACAGATGATGCTAAATTCGATGATCATACCATGAGTAAAGAATTCTTCAAGAAGTGGCCTGTGCAGGAGCGTGTTCGTTATGGTGACTTCCACGAGAACAAGGCCTATGCTCCGCCACAAATTAAATTTGAAGGGGAGAGCGAAAGTCATGAAAAGTTCCAACCTAAAACACGAGAGCCGATCACCAATTATAAACCCGAATTTAAAACGATGGACACTAATGGTGAGATGTATTTGAGAACCTCGTATTCAGACGAATATAAGGGACACAAAATAAAGCTTTGTAGAGCACAGGTCTATCTCCTTCAACAACAGTTTAAGAAGTGGCAAAAAGAACAAGCAGAGTTGACAAATGCTCAAGCAGTAGTAGCCGTAATGTGATGACAAAGTATATTTTCAAAGGCGACCAACTTCATGTTTGTAAGAGACACTGCCTTTTATTTTCGTTTCGTTAAAAAGGCTTGAATGTTGTAAATTGTTTCAATATCATTTAATAATCAAACTGGAATATACAGGTCACAATTCTATTGAATACAATTACTGCTTATTACTTAGCGGCGTTTCGACTAGGCTTCTATAGTCTTTATTGCTTGATAAAGACTTGTCGAAACGTCGCTCAGTAATTGTATTCTATAGAATTGTGACCTGTATATACGAAATACTGTAGGCTTGTAACAGTGCCAAGTCAGATTAATCTCTCAAAGCCATGGATGTTTTCATTTTGTCATGGTTTATAAATAATCACTATTTAAGCTTATGTATAAAGTATGTATATTTCGATCAGTTACCAGTATATGTTTATTGTGCACTTGTTAAGTTAAATGGATTTAAGGTAATGTTATCATGTCATTATAACATTACATTGCTTGGTAAACAATTTAAAGAGCTTCGTTACAGATTTCTCTGAAAGCGTGTTTAGGCTATTTTATTATCTTATTATTTATTTGTTAGTTTTAATAAATGATCTGTGTTATTAATCTGTAATTATTTAATTTCGGATTATTTTCTATAAAATATGATTGTTAAAGGGAGATTACTGTCTCAAGTGTAATTAACTGTGTTGATGTGCCGTTCTATTATTTTTAGTGCTTGTTACCTTTTATTATCCAACTAATAAAATATGTGTTTCCACCGAACTTGACTTTGTTTTGACAAACGTTATTAGTTAGTTTGAATAATTTACGTATATATGTAGATCACACCGCTTTGAAGAGGGGTTTGAATTTACGGACAAAAACAATTCTACCATTTCTAGTACAAATTGTGCTTTGTAGAATTTATGAAATGTTCTGTAATCGTCGCCATGAAAACAAAATTTGAACTAAACATCGCCATGTATTTGAATCATTTTAGATAAACGCTCGAATAATTGGGGTTAAGATAGGAACGCTAAGAGAGAAAGTTGCCAAGAAGGCACCAAATAATTAAGGGAGAGAAATGCTTTTTAACCAAATGCTTTTTAACGTTAACCCATCACACGGAGATATCATGGAGGTTAGACTGAGAATCCCACGCCTTATATAGTTCTGTCATAACTATATAGGAGTCTTGGAAGTTGGGATTGAGGCCAGCAGCGTTCTTTTCGATTAAACATACATTATGCAAGAGCCAAATCTGCCTATTGCAGATCTTTCTTTAGACCTGAAATGTTATCTAAATTATTAATTAGACATTAGTTAACTTTTCCAGATCATATTCAACCCTGGATGTCATCGCTAGCCTGTGATATTTACCAGATTGGAATACATTTTTTGAAAGATAATTAAATCAATAAATGGATAATCGAGACTTTGATTTTATCATAATGACTTCAGTAATTATGATGATTCAGGCTAGCCTAAAATTCAAAAGTTAATATCTCGGTTCAGAGTGGAGCAATTAGACTGAAATTTTCTGCATATTCTATATACGCTATCTACTATTTAACTATTATAGCGAGAACAGCCAACTCTTTATCTTATCACCCATAATGCCCCTTTAACTAAATAGATTGGCACTACTTTTGTTTTTGTTCTAGACTGAACAATATTTTTAACAATGTGTGTTTTTGATCAGCCTAGCCTACGGTAGACACCTGTATCAATCGATCCCAAGGACTAAACATTTCCAAAGGAGAGCTGAATAAAACCATCAAAGTAAATTTCAACGACGTTAGCAAAGTTTGATTTCGTTGTTACTAACCAACAAGAATTTTATCGTAAACGCTTTAAATTTGATATCAATGAATCCATTTTGTAATAATCTAAACATGACCTGGACTTTGATTATGGAGATTATGACCAGGGAAATGGTGCCAACCTAAGAGATTAATATGGGGCTAACCATATTAAAATAACTGGATTATCGGCGTGTTGTTGTTTTATTTTGTTATGACAGTCCATAGAAACTGGTCAATACCAGAAAACAATTTAGAGAATAAAATGATCTGAAACTTTTCTTGTAGCACAGATCAAGTGATATCTCTCTCTGGTTATACATCAAATCTAGTGATATTAATCGTCTGCTATAAAAATAATCTAAGATTCAAAATGGTGAGTGTTTTAAAAGGGTAGGTTTTTTTTTTGCTATTCGATAAAATTGTACATGGATTAAGACTAGTAATGGCTTCCCCTGTTATCAGTGACGGATCATGGTGAGGGCAACAGAGGAAATATATAGGCCTATGATCCACAACAACTTCATTCAGTTTACTAACTAGATCGTTTGCACTAAGGACCCCCTCAACCCCGGGGGGGGGGGGTAGAGATGGAGACCCCTCGACCCCTGCTAGGTTGTCATCTTGTCACTGGGGCCTGCCGACTCCCGTCACAGCCATTTCTCATGATTTAGTGCCTCTATTTGTAGCAATTCAATTAACTCCGTTTTAGAACAGACGCGAAGCTAGTTGGCTGACATTTTAATGCCTACATTGACGACTTTTGTCGAAAACGCCAAGTATACTTCGTGGATTTTGAGAAGTATTCATTCTGTTTCAGTTTTCATATATTTGGAAAATGATTATTTAGCCTTTGCTTTTGTGTGTGTGAAAAATGTGAACCGGATTAAAAACTCATAACAAAACAGAACAATGAGTTTTCAACATGGCGACCATTCAGGGAAAGATACTTTTATTCGGATGATTGTAGGATGTTTGGGCTATTCGTGGTTATATATGGCGAAAGAATTACTAGTCTGTGCCCACATCAGATATCGTAGTTGTTTCCCTTGAAGCGACACTGTTTCTCTGTCAAACTTCGTGTGTGCAGTGTGTGTAGGTGGGGGGGGGCGAATGGTTAGCGCGTGCGCGTTGTATCATAAGGTCTGTCATTGAGTCAACTGGCGCGGTTTCGATTCGCCGGTTGTACATGACAAGGAGTAAGGTCGCCTGTCCAACCTCGTGGGTTTTCTCCGGGTCCTACGGTTTCCTCCCACTGCTAAAGACCCATAGTTTACGACGCGCAAGCAAATTATTGAAATAAAATTGATATGACCTAGTTTGTGCCGAGTGGACGTTAAACCCCATTTATCCCTCTCTACTTTTACTTCCAGCGTGAGTGTATCTCTATTCATGTCGGCCAGGCTGGTGTCCAGATGGGCAATGCCTGTTGGGAGTTGTGCTGTTTGGAACATGGTATCCAGCCCGATGGTCAAATGCCCTCAGATAAAACTATTGGAGGTGGAGACGATTCCTTCAATACTTTCTTCAGCGAGACTGGAGCTGGTAAACATGTACCGAGGGCCGTGTTTGTAGACCTGGAACCTACAGTTGTTGGTAAGTTTAGTAGGATTGGCAATTATATATTGATAATATATGTTTATCGGTCTAATTATACTTCATTTCAAAAACAAAAGTAAGAGTGGATTATTATTATTGCGAGGGGGTGGGGTGGGGTGTAAAGCGTATTCGCGAAAGAACCTTGAGTTTGTCTTTATCAGTGGTTTCAGTATAAAAAATTAAACCTCCATTTCAGATGAAGTACGAACCGGTACATACCGCCAACTGTTCCACCCCGAGCAACTTATTACTGGTAAAGAAGATGCCGCCAATAATTATGCCAGAGGTCATTACACTGTGGGTAAAGACATTATTGATTTAGTTCTAGACAGAATCAGAAAACTGGCTGATCAATGTACAGGCCTTCAAGGTTTCCTCATCTTTCACAGTTTTGGTGGAGGAACCGGTTCTGGATTCTCCTCCCTTCTCATGGAAAGATTGAGTGTCGATTATGGCAAGAAATCTAAATTAGAGTTCGCTATATACCCGGCACCTCAAATATCCACTGCTGTTGTTGAGCCTTACAACTCTATCTTGACCACCCATACTACCCTAGAACATTCCGATTGTGCCTTCATGGTTGACAATGAAGCTATCTATGATATCTGTCGTCGTAACATGGATATTGAACGCCCAACGTACACCAACTTGAACCGTTTGATTGCCCAGATCGTTAGCTCAGTCACCGCTTCCCTGAGATTTGACGGTGCCCTGAATGTCGACTTGACAGAGTTCCAGACTAACTTGGTACCCTACCCACGTATACATTTTCCTCTTGCCACTTATGCTCCAGTTATTTCTGCTGAAAAGGCTTATCATGAACAACTCTCTGTTGCTGAAATCACTAATGCGTGTTTTGAACCAGCCAACCAGATGGTAAAATGTGATCCACGTCACGGTAAATACATGGCCTGTTGCATGTTGTACCGAGGTGACGTTGTTCCTAAAGATGTCAATGCCGCCATCGCTACCATCAAGACCAAGCGAACCATCCAATTTGTTGACTGGTGTCCAACTGGTTTTAAAGTTGGCATCAACTACCAACCACCAACTGTTGTACCAGGAGGTGACTTGGCTAAGGTACAAAGAGCTGTTTGTATGTTGAGTAATACCACTGCTATTGCTGAAGCCTGGGCTCGTCTGGATCACAAATTTGATTTGATGTACGCCAAGAGAGCTTTCGTCCACTGGTATGTTGGTGAAGGTATGGAAGAAGGCGAATTCTCGGAAGCTAGAGAAGATTTGGCTGCTTTAGAGAAGGATTATGAAGAAGTTGGTTGTGATTCTGTTGACGGAGAGGGAGAAGAAGAAGTTGGTGGCGAAGAATATTAGTTTGCATAGCAATTTAATTTAATTAAAACTGTAATATACTGTATCTTGATTTGATTCTAAGCGAATATTCTATTGTGTATCATTTCGAATGCTTCTTTCATGTATTCAGTGCTATGTTTTATTTGCTTAATAGAAATAAGGACATTTGCCCTAGCTTTGTACTTAATACACTTGCATTTTTGCACACGCTTATGTAATGTTTTGATGCCCCCCTTTGACTACAATCTAATTTTACTTGGCATTTTCTTCACTTCACGAAACGGTTATTTATGAGAGCTTTTCTTCAATGTGCTTTCATTGAGATTTCTTGTAGCATCCAGCTGATCATTTGGGAAATATTCCACCTTTTTTCTTGGATTTTCCCCCTTATTGTTAGTTTGTTTTCGTTTTGAAGAAAATGATTCATTTGCTTATAGTTCAGTTTAGATACTTTACCCAATGTCAATCGAGTCCAAATTTATGTCACTCTTAATTCTGCGTCCTATGTCTATGCAGCAAAAAGAAATAGACCCAAAACGGCCCATGCTGCGAGTTGTCGGTCTGTCAATGCTGTTGATGTGAAATGGTGTGAAATGGGGCCAAACGTCCCACGTTTCTGCACATGTTATTATGAAGTTGATCACACGATTGTGCCGGCACAAAACCAAGCAATATGTGTAAATATGGACCCAATGGTAATAGGACTTTTGCCTTATCTAATTCCACTAGAAAAAATGGGGATCTATAATTAAGAGTTATCCCCCATACATATCATCTAGACACACGGCAAGAATTTTTCAAAGAATATTTATATCATTCTAAATCACATATTATATACAAATACAAAAGTATCATTCAAGACATTTACAAAAAAAGCACAAATCATTTGGAACACATTAATGAACACATTAATATTTGAATTAAAAACGGTTTAGAAAAACTCGTCCTTAAAATCATACGATAAATCAGTTGATTATTGCTAATAAATGTTAATATTTGTAAAATTACATGAATAATAAAAGTCACTAAAGTACCGGGAGGCATACACTGAACATCGTGTCGGCTGGGTTTCTTGTGCAAGTTTCTGACAGCTTGAACATTATTATTGCCTACCCTTAAGGCATATGAATATCATATGAATATACTGTTATATCTTTTTAAATATATTATTTCTATATCTTATATATTATTATATTGCGTTGACCAGAACAGTGCCAACTGGACGTTCCAAAACCATCACGTATATCAAAAAGTCGCAGTGACATCACAGCTTGTCTATCTGTTCATATATCCGATCTTCAAATAATAAGACAATTTCTCGATTCTAAACTGTTTTGTCTACAGGCGATTATGGGTTAAAATAAATAGTTAGATTTAATTAATTCACTTTCTTCAAATTCACCATGGAATCTGGGAGTTAAGTAGGTAAATGAGTAATGGATTTACATACGAAGATGTAGGCCAAATTCCTGCCATACAACTTGATCATTTTTTAAGAAGTCGGACACAACTGACCCTTTTCATAATTTTGACTTCTCGTCAATAAAATTAATTTTATACTAAACAAAATGGAATGTTGTAAATTGATATGTTATGAATATTAAATATAATAAAATATTTTCTATTGTTACATAATATTATCTTATATAAAATTTCTTATACACTGATTATAATATTATTTACAAATACAAATTCAACTATATATGTATTATCAAAATTAAAGTTACCTTATCAGCACTTAAATATAATTTGGATACATTCTATATTAAATGTTTTAAATGCATATTCCGTATCAGGCAACCGGTCTAGGGCTTGTTTGAATGCTTATTTTCTTGTATTTACATTCGCGATTTTTAGATTTAGTTTTGTTTAGGTCAACGCCACGTATCCAGGTAGGACTTATTAAAGACACATTATTCAAGAGGTAAATCTGCACATTGCAGGTCTTTCTTTAGGCCTTAAATGTTATATAGCTTAGACATTTATTATCATGGCCATAATCAACTCTCTATGTCATCGGATGACTCTGATTGTATGTAGATTAGAACGGTTCGGCCATTTAATGATTTATTTTTAAAATTGTAAAGAGAACGACAAGAGAGAGAATCGTGTTTTAACGTCCACTCGACACAAACTAGGTCATTTCGGGACTAACACATGGTTCAATTTTATTTCAATAATTCGCTTGCGCGTAGAGGTCTTTAGCAGTGGGAGGGAACCGGAGGACCCGGAGAAAACCCACGAGGTTGGACAGGCGATCCTATTCATTGTCATGTACAACCGGGGAATCGAAACCACGCACGTTGACTCAATGACAGACCTCATGACACAGCGCGCACGTGCTAACCATTCGACCATCCAACCACCCCGCTAAGTTTCGAATATACCAGTACCCTGGTTACGATAATTAACAATCAATGCACATATCTTGTTAAAACTACAAACAGTGATAACTGGGCTTAGAATAAAGTAATTTGAATGAAATTTTAAATATATTCATTTTGCATTATCTATTTTTGAACTATTATAGCAAGAACGGCCAGCCCTTTATCTAAATATTACATTACGTATCTTTAAACAAGAAACATAATATATTTTAGATCTTAAAGTCTATTGCTCTATACATTAATACCCAATGGTTGCGGTAATATTTCACTTTATTATGACTTCTTTTCTTCAATATCATCTGGTGGCGTTCCTTCTTCTATATTAATTTCCAAAACCTCCTTTGTCAATAACCTGGGAGCGGTTATTGAGATGGCTAAGGCACCCAGTGGGGCGGTGATGATAATGACTAAAACTGCCATAGCTAGTACCTGAAATAGGGATAAAAACAGTAGTAGTAGAAGTAAGTAGTAGTTGTGGTAGTAGTAGTAGTAGAGAATATTGCTAAAAGCTGGCCAGTACGTAACAAAGACCAGTAGGATGTGATAAATAAAGCACCATCCATAAACGTAAGGGGCCCGTGACGAATATGAGCTATGGCACTTCCCATTACAACCTATAAACAGGACCCCGAGGAGATAGTGGCAGTTAGGACCAGCAAGGGGTTGACTTTTAAGTGAAATTTTAACGATCCATGTGAAATTTTAACGATCCATGTGAAATTTTAACGATCCATGTAAATTTTAAATTCCCATGTAAACAGAAAACCAAGAGAAAAGAACCCACTGGTATTCTAAATGTACATCAATATTTTATAGTTTGTTTACACTCACCTTTGTGCCTAGTTCTATTAATTCTGGATCTCCACCCTTTTCACGGGCTGTATCAAGTGCTACTGAACCCACAGCAGCCTGGAATAAATAGATGTTATAATAAGTTTTAAAAAAATCGCTATAGTACAGGTTCATATTTATACACAAAATCACCCATATATTTTGAAATGCTAATGTTTCAGTGAGCAAGGCGCTGGCTTTCTAAACCGGGGTTACTGGGTTCGATCCCTGCTCAGAAAGTTCTTCAGAACTTTCCAGTTTGATTTCAACTTTTCAGTCGAGCAGTACTGTGTCTGACATGGAAAATTGGACCCAGTCGTTCACCCGTAAACTAGTCGACATGCACGAAACGATCCACTGATAATATTGGAATGTGATGAAAAGTATCTGGAAACGCCGCTGTCCGGGCTCGCGTATGCACATCTTCATTGACCCGGTTGGTGCAGAAAAGTAGGATGTTAAGCACTACTTCAGTTCATTTCATTGAGCAGTATTTGATGTGTACAAACTATGCAGATGGCAATTTATTTTAAATAAATATCGATACTACATGGCGTAGTTGATATAGTTACCCACCTGAACAGTAGCTTTTGGTAACCATGCGAATGGAACAAATAATTTCTCTCTCAGATTTAAATCAGTTCCATACATAACCAGAAATGAAACCACAACTCTAACAGATAAACCAATAAATAAAACACCGATTCCTGCACCTGTAATCAGAAACAGAAAAGGCAATATGATGAACTATGTCCCACCGATTCCATATTATTCATCAATATAAGTTTTGTACCAATCTTATTATAATACTGTTAGAAAGCGTGCATTAGACTTCCAGCTTGTTGCACCATGGATTGGAAATATACGGATAGACAGGAAATACCTAGCCTATAAACAAGGTTATCACTTACGTGTACCCACACCCTTCTCAACTCCTCTTACGCATACAGACATATGTATGGTGGATGTGGTAGTGTGTGTAAGTGGATTGGAGGGGTTGGATGGGTAAAAATCACAGGTTTATTTAGGAAACTGCAGTGTGCACGTATTCAAGTAGAAATGCTCCAGTTGTGTTATATAGCTAGTTGGGATATTATTGAAGTGACTGATATGGTGACCGAGGCAGCGGATATATTCTGTTGCATATTCCGTCTTCATTAGCCCTGTTGGTGCAGCGCATTAGGACAATAAAACACATTTCATTTGTGTTGGGCTTTAGTGTTTGTTAGTTATGATGACTTAGTCATGATTCTTACCTATAAGATCTACTTTTACTTTTGTTATATCGACTTCTGCACCAATCAGACCAAATAACAAAGGTTGAAATATCTGCCATAGTCTGCCCATTAATGTAGTCACAGGATTCTTAACAAAAATAAAATAATTGTAATTATTTCGACCGTAAATGAGATTAGGATACATTCTCTTACATTTGCCAAATGGAATCATGAAACCAGGCCAATAATGGTTCGGGTTAAATATAAGTATTCAAGAAACTTACAGCTCCTGTCCAACCATGTCGTCTCCATCCATGAGCAGCAACAAATGCTAAAGTTAGACAAGCCAACGCACCAGCTCCTGGCAATTCCAGTGTTCTACTTCCAAATACAGAAAACAAACCACCTCCAAATACCAGAGCAAACCGATAAAATACAACTCGACTCTGAAATCATATAATGTACTATAATAATTATTCAAAGTATAGTCAGCATAAAATTTCTTGCAGAAACTTTAGTTCATCGGTGATGTAAATATTTAAGCCCCGCCTTCATTTCTGAATGTTATCTAATGTTGGGACATTTATTTGTCTGAAACTATATATCCACTCAGCTAGGTATATAATTCTGTAACCAGTTTTCTTGGGGTTAATTTTATCAACGCATGTATGATTCATTGTAAAATATGGAGAGAAAGCTAAAATAACATTTTCATTGTACACTCGTTACTCAAATATCAATTATAAATTAACAGATTTACTTATGTAACAAATGAAAAGAGTATTTGGGGGTACTGGCAATACTATGGAATCAGTCGAGATGTCCACCTTCCCCACTGGCCAATATAGACTGCACTATCATGAAACGATCCATCCTTTCTCCAAAATATAAATTGTATACTTACACTATTAGGGTTAGGAAGATACCAGCATATTACACCATAAATTAAACCAAACGTCAGACCAACAACAGCTTCTATCGGTCCATGTATAATGGTCATAGTTAAATCACCTATAGAAATAAAGATTTATATAAGTTCTTGGGCATTCTTTCATTTTTTATAAATCTAAAATACTATCCCACCCCACCCTCACACACACACGTACACACACAAAACTTGAAATGATCCGTTGCACATTTGACAATTGACACGCATACTCGTAGTCCAACATTAGGTAACTGCCAATTATTTTTTTATTTTTCCAAGAGAAATAACAAACACAACAATATAGATGATAATATGATAATATAACGTCACATGATAATATTAATAAGATGAGAAAGTTTTGATGAGATAAAAAGCAATGATGTCATGAATGATCAGTCTCTTGAGGATAACCCATGAAAACCTGCTTAAATTAAAACTAGGTTTATTCCCAATGGGGAAATTGGAGGAGGATCAGGTCATGTCATCATAAAGGTACAGAATCATTTATGAAAGATGAAGGGTGAAATATGACAATAAATAGTGATTTGTGTGTGCACCGTAAGGGTTGTGAAGTACAAAGAGGTGTGAAAGACATTGGAGTATACATACATAAACAAACTAAGACATTTGATTTATTTTGCTAACACGTATTTATATTTTTTTAATTTCTTAAAAGTGACAATGTTCTCTATTGATTTAAGTTGGTTTGGAAGTTCATTCCAGGCCTGAATACTTGAATAGTAAAAACTTGAATATTGAGTATTATTTTTGCATTTTGGTACAACATAATTTTAAATGCTTCACCTAGTACTATGTAGATGACCATCTCTGACCAAGCGAAGATCGGCTTTCATGTACACTGGAGACCCATTATGAAACTTTTTGTGACAATGGTTCAATTTCAGTTATTTGACACTATATTTTCAAGATTTAAACTATTTAGATCTTTATACAGATTTTGGGTAATTGAATCTCTGGGATATAAGGCGTGTATGAATCGGATAACTTTGTTGTAAAAAAAATTCAGTTTGTTCTTTAGCTTCTTGTTTAAGCCTGAGAACCAAGCTGAGCATGCATAATCTAAGTGATATTGTATAAGAGCATTGGTTAATAATTTCCTAGTATACTTTGTTAAAGACTTTTTCGATCAAAATAAACATTTCAATCTGGTATTCACCTTTTTAATAATATTATTAACTATTCATTCACAAGAGAGATAATGATCAATATATTATTATAGACCCAGATACTTTACACTCTATGTTGCTTGAATGACGTGATCATTACACACCATTTCAAAACTACTGGTTTTCTTTAGAGCCAAATAACATACATTCAGTTTTACTTAAATGAAGGGACAAATTATTGTGTACTGACCAATCTGAACAAGCCTTTAAGACATGACAAAATTTTACAGATACTATGTCAGGATTTGAATGGGAAAACAGGACGGCACTGTCGGTAGCATATAGGATTAATTTACAAGGGACATGTATGCTAATGATCATGACATTCACATATAACAGAGGAAAAAACAAGGGATCCAGGATACTGCCCTGTGGAACGCCACAAGGAATGTCCAAGGTTCTGAGAAAGTTTTACCAACGTTGACAACTTGTATCCTGTTGGAAAAATATGAACGAAACCAGCCTGTGGATCGGACGTTGATTATTGCAAGCGTTTTACACAAGATATTATGGTAGACTGGTTCTCATACCCATAGTCCAAAATGAAGACAAGATAGAGTATAACAGTATTATACATTATAACTATTAGGAGATTTAAACATTACTTCAAGGATATGTCTGCAGTGATCATATGTTTGCATTAATGACTCTGCCAACGATATTTGTCACCTCCTTGTATGAATGTTACTGAAATAACTCTTATTAAACATTCAATAACTATGTTTACCTTGTGAAAATGCTATACCGAGGGCAATGCCAAATCCACTGATAGCTAATACATCATCTAAACTACCAGCAGCAATAACCATTGTAGGTATACCCTTATTTGTACCTAATTTCTCCTCTTGTAACTTTAACATACTAGGTACAACTACAGCCGGTGAAACAGCTGAATGGATAAAACTGAAAAATTCCAAAGATATTTTATTATGTTAGATAGGCCGCTGTATCCACAGAAGATTATCTAAACCTAATGTTAATTACCAGGCCGGTTTAAGATCTTTAGAGGCCCCATTAGCACTGAACAGATTATGGTGCTCTAACATATTATGTAACGTGTAAAATAATTTTTTTATCTTTCGAAATCCCAGATAATTTCATTCATTGTTTGTGGCTATGCTCCGCCATTTGCAACATGGTAAATCGGCCACTAGAAATAACACCGTGGTGCACCCCACCCCTTACCCCTTCTCGCGGTACTTAAAGGGTGTATTGCTTTATTCTCTGGAACATTAAAATAGACTAAAATGGGTCCAAAAGCATAAATGAACGTATATAAAGTGATTTACATTCAATAACTATAGTTATTTCTGATCATTTAAGTTCAGTGAAATGCGCGAACATTTCAAATTGAACGACACTCGTTTTCGCCCGCTTTGTCTATTCTACACATTTGTTATTCATATATTGTCGATTGTGAATCAGCCATTACTAATTCATTCCGCATTCTCTTGTAGATAAGTTTTTCAATGTTCATTACAAATGGCACCGAACCCCTAGAATACACGACTCGTTACAAATGGCACCGAACCCCTAGAATACACGACTCGTGTACTGATTATAAAATGTTCATTATGCGTTAATACTGGAAATTGAGATCCAATATTTTCACGGCAAGATAACAACATCAATATTGATTGAAATAGACAAATATTGACTTTTAAATCTTGTTTTTTAATTTCAAATATGATGGAAAATGATGGAGTTAGAGGTTTAGCTCCTTCAATGTTTAATCTGGTGTGACAGCTTGAATTTAGTGATTTAAGTGATTATTCGTTACACTTTTTGATGTTTTAACTATGTTTTAATAATTAACTATTTTGCAGATTGAATATTGGCCTTTATATGATTGGGATTTCTCTGTATCATTGTTATTTTAATTTTGTACCTCTTATTAAAATTTTTTACAACTTCACAATATAGCCTATCTGTTTATTACTCATATTAGGGATTTAAGGTCACGTGACTAGCATGAAATCTGAGAGCCAGCGGCTGAAATATAGCCTCCTTCAATTTACGATTCTGAATTATTATTTTATTTAAATGTACATGTATTACTAGCAATTGTGTTGTAATAGTTTAATATCAATCCCATAATCTGCAAAGATTCAGGCCCAAAAATTATCGAAATGTAAGCGAAATTATCGTTTATATACGCGGTCTGCCGTCACGCGACCGATGATTTTCCATCAACGCGAATAGCTACAGCTCACTTTATCGGTGAATCCGCGTCTTTGTCAATTTGTGTTTCTACTTTTTATCGAAATAAACAAACAACAGAAACTCGACACCGTCTCCTGATATAATAATACTGTAAATATTGGTAGATAATAGTGTAGAAACCGATTTGACCGTAAGAAAATCTTAGGGGAAATCCTATCACGGGGAGTCGGGATGCACACCGTGTCCATAACGGTGTGAGCTGACTCCCACAACTGAGCATGCGCTAAACGGTAATCACACACCAGGTACCATCTCACACTGTCACACCGGGGATGTTAATGGATTTATATTCTTTTGTCCAAATAATTTTAGGACCAAATATTTAATCGCACGTGTACATTAAATATGGCTTTATCGCATTGTCATTTATCCCAATCAGAGCCGGGGCACCGATATGCTTGGAATTCCCGTTAACCAACATCTAGGAAACATTTCCGAACGGTTCAAATGATTTAGCTGAAACTTTCAGTGGACTTCGTCACATTTCAGTGTTTAGTTTCTAAGCTTAAACCCGCTTCTATCAACGGGTACCACGGGAAGTCTGGGGCTACTCTGGTGAGTGTCATTTAATTCCATAAATAGTGTCACATCATAACAATAAAATAAAGCTCAATCGCACAAACAGTGCAGCCATGAATATTATGATTAGAATAAGTCTTTGTTTAAATATGGTCTTTACAATTTCGACATAACATATTCTTTTTTGTTGAGAAAATCAGTTTAACGTACCCAAGCATAAAAGCCCATGACCAGGGAAAGCCGAGTATACCCCAAGCAGCTACACCAACGGTTAATGCTTCAAAGATACATGGTAAAGCTGCCAACCGCAACACAACAAGGGACAATTTCTTTAATGCTACGGGATCAAGGCCCAAACCAGCTCGAATCAAAATGATGACCAGGGCTATAGCTCTGTAAAGAAAGAAAGAAAGAAAAAAGTTTTACCCAACTAAATCAAATATGTTTCTCTGCTATTTCTAATATATCAATAAATATAGATTCACTCACAACAGAACACTTAAATATTCAAGTAAATGTACCAATAATTGAAATTCTTATTGGAACAAAGAGTAGGTCGAACACTTTTTTGCGACAAACACAGGAAAAACTAATTCATATGTGTTTGATGAATATGTTTTTGCTTCAAGATAGAGTAAGAAAGAAAATATCCTGTTTTGGTTTAAAACGCAATCAGATGTTTTCTTGTTATTCATTTCTACGATCCTACAGTAAACTGAAATGAAACGAAATGAAATGAAATGGGGTTTAACGTCCTACTGTTCTGCTCCTATACTGGGCTAATGATGACGGGTATACGCCATACAGTGTGCTATGAGGGAAATATTGCCCGGGCAGCGGCACTATCGCCTACTCTTATATCGAATTCCAACTGCCAAGGGATCTTTTACGTTCATTCCAATGTTTACAAGGGACCTCGGTTTTTCGTCTCATCCGAAGGACTAGACAGCTGTCCTTGTCAGGCCCTCCGTCCTGCATCACTGACAAGGGGAAACCACGTCGGAAAATCGGGATGAACTTTTACGGCCAATGCAGGGATCGAATACCCGACCTCCAGGCTAGCGAGCCAGCGCCTTACCCACCTAGCCAGAAATGAAACGAGCTTTAAAGTAATTAATTTGACCGTGTATAAATATAATAAATTTTAAGCTTTCAAGCATCTTATTTAACATAATCTCCTATTTGCTCTCTATACCATACTGTCAACAATTTCAACCTCTCAATCTTTGGAGGATGCAAGAACTTATGAACCAGAGATAGGAAACTGTTACCATATAAAACTTCCGGCTTCGATCAGTTATAAAATAAATTCCACGTCGGACGTTAAGTGTGGTGATAATAATCCAAATCTAACGACCAGAGCTATAATTTGGTGGACATAGTCTGCACCTACATCGTCCCTTTCGAGGCGGCGTTATTTGACAAAGGGCTCTTCGCGGAGATGTAAACGAAGTGCTAAAATCGCAATCTGTGATTTAAACAATGCAACAATTACGGCACTTCGATTTGGACAGTGGCATTAGATAATCTATCGAAAAATGAGTAGGCTATATTTATTCATTTGTTGTCATTGAAAATAACTGTTTAAACACAATTCTTAGTAAATACTATCTCTACTTACCTTAATGATGAAGACCATTGTTTGTCTATACTCTCAGCAAAGTTAACTACTGGTACATTTCTAAGTAGACATCCTAGCAATAACATGCCTTAATAGAAAAACAATATATAACATTTAATGCCCCATGTTATTCTTGATGCATTCTCAGTCACGATTACTATATAACTGCGAATGTAATCTATCTTAAAGAGACAAAAACAATTGTCCAAATTTCTACCAACAGTGGAAGTTCTACCTTCAGTAACCGTGTTACTCACGGCAAATTAGACTATGGAATACAATGAACTAGTTGAATCTAAATCAGAATGTTGTTGCCTTTTGATTCTTTATTAGCGATACTTACCAAGTAATGGAGGTAGTCTAATCTGTTGTACGTTAAGTCCACCGATAATACATAGCGGAAACAGAATAATCATTCCAAAATAACTGTGATATGGTAGAGCCTCTTCTTCGACGATTGACCACACTATAGCCCACAAAATAACTATTGTAAGTATAAATACCAGCCATCGAGCTGCTCTTCCGTGAGGAGGACATCTTAATCCATACACAAATCTATCCTTTAAAGTCGGATAATCGGGAAGCGGATTATGTGCTGTTGTAAACGGACGGCTTACTTTATCGAAACAGTTTTTAATCTTTCCACAACATCCACCGGTTGATTTCGATTCACATTCGCCCTCTGATTTTTCACTTCTTGTACATTCATCAAACGTCTGTAAACTCGATAATCCATTTATTACATCTCCGTTGTCTTTCAAAAGCGTATCTCGAATCGCCTTAGTTTCCTCGTTATCCCCGTTTGCTGCCATTCTGTGTGTGTGTCACCTGTGAGGAGATAATGTTACAGGTGATAACTTAAAAGAAAGATAACACACAAGTACTAACACCTTTATTTTAATTATAAAATCGAAACACACAGAAAGGAGATTAAACCACTATAGCATACATGTATGTAACCCGTTGAAAACATAACGAACTCTGGGTTCCTATATTATTGACTGGCAATATAAACACCCGGGGTTGAATGGTCTATCCTTGCAAAATCGCAATACTTAATAAATCAAAAATCAAAAGATACAGATCAAAGAGAACACATTTGCAAGTAAATGCTAAATAATATAAGGTATTAGCTCGATACAAATAAAAGTGTTACTGTCTGTTGATTTTTACACCAGATCTATACACTGTGAACACAACCCACTGCATAAGTGTTAAATTCAGCATTTTAAGAATTAAATTATACGACCCCTCATCATATATGTTTATTTTAAAAGACATTCTATTTTGCTTGGTTTATATAGAAATAAAATATATAGTATTGAGAAAAATGAGGACGCGGTCAATAGAAGGTTTTTTGGGTTTTTTTACATTCAATTTGACAATATTAGTTGGGGGCGGCGTAATACATTTAAAAGATTTATCGGCAGTTGTCACATGCACAATTAATAGCCATATAATATAACATATTTTATAATAATATGCTGGGGTCTTTTACTGACCTCTTTCAAGACAGAAACGGGTTTAAGAATTGTGTTTCCGCATTAAAATCTACACCTTTTAGGACATCCTAGTAATACGGTAATATCCTTGTATCCTTATAACAGGTTCTATACTGCATGTATCACTTATGAATTCATGAAATACCAAGAAAACAAATGAAAAACTCCACCAGACAATGTACTGTATAAATATATGGACTTCATCATTATACAAAACACCTGGTTTTATTCTACTCATATTACAGGACTAGCCTATCTAAAAATCGATTAGATAAACTGATATGAGATTAAATGTTCAAGTAGTTGATGTTACTGATTAAGCTTTTCTTAGAATAATATTAGACCATGGGATTTTGTATTCATTTAATAAATGAAGCACAGAACTTGGCTAATATTTACAAACATTTTGTCTTTGTCAAAGACCCACATTTCTAACAAACTATTTAACAGGGTTTTCAATAAATGTAAACACGTTCACTTTAAAATGAGGGAATTGTAAACTCGTTAACTTTTAATTAGTGTCAAAATGTTATCTTGAGATTTTCATAGCAGTTACACTGCGGAGACTATACAATCGGTATATATCTATATTTGTATAGATGTGGTACACACTGACATTCATAATTTAAGGGAAATCCAATTTGTTAATTGCTACCATTATAATATCGGATTCAAAATATTAACCAAAGCTTCCTTATGTCCATGGGTTGTGCCCACGACTACGGACAAGAGATTTCCATTCCTTTTTAATTATCCCAAACTGAATATTATTTTACTATACCCCTAAAATTAAATTATTGGTCAGTGCACATGAACTTATTTGTAACGTTAAGTATACATTGCAGATACATCGACGAAAGAAAGAGAATGTATGTTTAAATATGAGTAGTATTTAAGAAAACAAGTTGTTTAGTTAATAAAAAAAATTAAATTATCATACAAATTATTGTATTTCAAAAACTAAAACACCTGGGGAGAAGATAAAAGCACAATCTGGACCAAAAATAACTAAATTTTAATTTCTCTTGAAATAATAGAAATATTTTGGAGAAAATAAGTTTATTTCAGGTTATTTGTTCCGAATGATGTTATGTAGAGTATTCACGTATGTATAGGTATAAGTTAGATGTTTTATGCCCGTTTTGTTTTTATACACACAATTCAGTACATGTACACTCAAGCGTGTTGCTTGTCGTTCGTGTGTACGTAATAAAATATATTATTATTATATGCTATCAAACTTCTGGAAATATATATGAGAGCTAATATAAATCACTTCAGTGGTCATATAACACCGAATTCCACGAGTTGAGACACCCCGTTTTAACTTCCTATTAGTGCAACTGTACTCTAATATTAAAAGTACAGCTTTCATTGTGATTATTACAAAATTCACACATGTTACAATTTTACACAGTTTCATCACTTAGGACAAAGGATCATATTTCAATGTGATCCACATTATCATTTACTGATATCTCCCTAGAAGTCTTATTTTAGATTCACTAATACTCATGTATAGTATTTTCTTACCTTTATAATTCTCTTTAATTGCCTTATTTTTGAAGTTTTAAAATCATTGCAAATTCTTCAGTACGTTTGTTCAGTTCACTTGTCCTCACTAAATACGGGGTAAAGCAAGGGTGTGTGCTTTGGGGAGTCCACTTTATTTAACGAAGTAATGTAATCTAAGAACGTAATGATTTTAGTTGGTTGTTTTTGAATTCTCCTGGGAGGACCACCTCATAAATCAATAAACTAAAGAATGAACGATAGGTCATCACTATTATTATTTATAGCTTCTGGGTAATAATGCCGAAGGGTCATAGTAAAACAATGGACCATGATGAGTTATGGCCTGCTAATTTGGGACATATTGACATAATTTTGTTGAGATTTTATTGTTCTTAAATCCACGTAAAATTATAGGACCAAACTGACATCTGACAAACAAATAAAATATTCTTAAATACTCTCTTCTATTATCTGAAATATCTATCTTATTATAAATGTATATGTATATAGAGAAAATAGGTATGAACCATGGTATAAAATACGGTTATTGTAATCCACGTCTTAATAGAAAAAAAAAACATTTTTAAGCCCATCGCCGATATGGGATACTTTTGACGACTGTTCGTCATATCGTATGAATCTCAGAAAAGATTTAAAAACACAAAAAAACAACAACAACAAAAACCAAACAAAACAGGTTGATTTGGATATCTCCCAATTCCATTTTATTCAAAGCGACGCAATGTTTTAATATTTGTTTGTATTTCGCTACTTAAAGGAGCTAAATCGCCAATATTGACACAAATGGGTCGCAGCTCATATAATAATGCAATATGAATGTATATAAACTGATTTACATTCAATCGTTTCCATTTTTACTCTAATTTCAAATCAGTTATCTTCGGCGAAACACGCCAGAAGTTTCAATCAAATGGCAATCTCTAGCTGTTTTTGCGCATGCTCTCCAGATAAGAATACGGCCTCACGGTTTGACATGACTAGTGGAATATGTCTAGATTCGTTCTTCGAGTCCCTTGTTACAAATGGCGCTGAAACCCATGCATGGTACACGATTCGTGTACCAATGGTAAAATGTTTATTTTGTCTTAAATATTAGATATCAGAAGCCCATCAATCAATGTTGATTTAAATAGACAATTAATTCGTGTTTTCAATGTCGAAGACTTTGGATGATACTGAGTTAGAGACTTTAAACCATGATGATATCTCTGGTGGTTATCTGTTGTGACGAATGTCGCGCACGACGAATGGCATGCTTACACTTTTCTGATACCCGAATATTGTCAACAAAAACTTCTTTAAAATCTATTCTGCGTATTTGAATTAATTCTCATACAGGTATATGACCAAGCTATTATGCTTGTCCGAATATTGTATATAATGCGGGAAGGATTTAAATTTATGATATTTGATGAATCTAAATATTCGCATTTTAAAACATCTTAAGTTATCAAAGTACAGTTTGTGTATACAAAGAGTGAACTGCTTTGTGTTATTTGCATAGTCATCATCATTGATCGATATTTATAAGGGGTTCAATATGTCTTACTTAAAGATATAGAATATCTTTTATTTATGATTCAATAGAACTATACATATTTCTAATCACTAGTGAAAAAGTAGTGACTCTTATCTAATTTCAGTCATTCTATAACAGACCTTATTTATAGTAATTTATGGTGTGTTTCTTAAAGGAGGATTATGAAATGAAGTCCACAAATCTTCACGAAATTTTGAAGTAAAGGTTGTCATACAAAGACAATATAATATTCCTAGTTTATTTATTCCTCGACTCTTTGTAGACTGCCTCCAAAAGCACTTGGGGTTGGCACTGGGAAAAATTTGGAGATGAGATGAGATGAAATGGGGTTTAACGTCCTACTGTTGTGCTCCTAACTGGGCTAATGAAGACGGGCATACGTCATACAGTGTGCTATGAGGGAAATTTTGCCCGGGCAGCGGCACTACGGCCTACTCTTATATCGAATTCCAACTGCCACGGGATCTTTTACGTGCACGCCAATGTGTACACGGGACCTCGGTTTTTCGTCCCATCCGAACGACTAGACAGCTGTTCTTGCCAGGCCCTCCGTCCTGCATCACTGACAAGGGGAAACCACGCTGGAAAATCTGGATGAATTTTCTCGGCCAATGCAGGGATCGAACACCCGACCTCCAGGCTAGCGAGCCAGCGTCTTACCCACTTAGCCACGTGATCCCCGGAAAAATTTGGAAATTGATCCTTCTCATAGAAAATGCAAAATGAATTGTCCCACCATCTCCCAAATTAAATCTTTTTGATATTAACAGAGAAAAAAACCCAGAAATGTACCATGGTGTGATTAAAAGGGCGTGCAATATGATGTTAGTTGTTAAACAAATGGGCGGATATCTCAACCATATAATTAATGCATAGTATATTCCATAATTCATGCACCTTTTGCATGGATATAATAACTTCAATGAAATACATAAGAACATAATTTTAAACGATAATCTATTTCCATTGAGATGGGAATTCTCTGACCCCTTCCGGTTACAATATTAATTTATCATTTCGCATTAAATGACAACTGAACACCAGCTTTCTTATATATTATTAAAGCGTCAAGAAAAAATAGCTTATTATAATTTTGTATAACGCCTCGGGTATTAATAAAATTGTCTCCCGTGGATCTCTTTGATATTTTTGTTGACGTTTATTTGTGTACTTTTGTCATTTAGCTTTTCGCATGTCTTTAAAATATCGTTACGACAGGGATATATGTATCAAATACTATTACATTTAAA